GCGCACATCTCCTCCGGCGATATCCCATGCTCGGCTAGTCCGTGCCCCTCGCCGTGATTGGATATCGACCAATCGCACGGAGGGTATAGAGAGACTCCTGGTTGCTACGTATCCTGGCAGCCTGATCATTTACAAAGCGGACGTGTAGGGCAGAAGGGAAGGAGACACGAGCGCATACAGATACCAAACTTTGCCACATAGATATGTACAGGTGACAAACTGCATGACCAAGGTAAGGGTGATGAAGTGCAATGTATTGTAACGCAGACTATGTACAACATGTACTGAGAGACTGGTTGTAGCAACAAGGCATGCGCGCTAGTAGTCGTACTCCCAGGATTCCGTCCTATGTTGGGAATCGTATAGCGAGCCATCTGGTTCACGAGAGCCGGTATTAGCAGAGCCTCCCGGCTTCTTCTTCGGCGCATAATCGCGTACAATCTTGACCGTAAACCCATCGATCGCGAATTTCCCATCGTGCTGAACCGCCTCCTCGACAGAGCGTGGGTCCACAAAATTGATGTACGCGAAACCGCGGAGACTGCCCGTCTCGTGACGCTGACCGAGGCGTACATCCGAGATCCTCCCAAAGCGCTCAAACTCGCGCCGCAGTCGAGAGGCGTCGATATCGTGAGGAAGACGACCAACGAAAATCTTCTTCGTTTGTTCGTATTCGGTCGGTCGTGCAGGGTAATCCATGATTGCCGGTCGAGAAGGCGGGGCTGGATGGACTCGAATGCAATGTCCGTCGATCGTCTTCCCGTTGAGCTGTAGCGCCTTTTCCACCGATTCGGGGGAAGAGAATCGGATCCATCCGACACCGATTGAGGTGCCTGTGCGAAGGGCCCTCCAGACATGCGCGTGTTCAATTTCACCACAAGACTCAAATTCGGCCTTCAGTCGGATGTCGTTGACTTGAGGGGGGAGATCGAAGGCGCTGACTGATCGCGCCGCTCCCTCGTGGATGTGCGCGTATTCGTCCCAGAGCGATACGTTCGGATTCCGCTGCTTAGCTCTCGCGACGTACAGACGCTTCCCGGAGAGCGTAATAGGACGCTTCAACGCTTTAGCGACCGAAGAAGGGGACGCGAATCGCACGAGGGCATAGGATTTGCCCGCGTAAAAGCCGGCAAGGGTCGTGTGAACCTGGACGTCGACAACCTCCCCGCATGAGGAGAACAGCGCTTTCACTCGCGCCTTATCGATGTGTCGAGGAGTAGGTCCAACGTTGATCGTGTCCGTGTGCTCGAAGAGCTCAGAGACGTGCAGGGGCTTTCCGAGCGCTTCCTTACCATCCAACTGTAATGCCCTGTCCACCGCGTCCTGCGAGGCGAACCGGACATACCCGGATGATATCTCCGTGATGTACTGGTACACTCTGAGGGTGACATTTCGAACATCGCCGCAGTCGGAAAAGAACACCTCCACCTCCTCACGTGAAACGTCGCCAGGAAACCCTTTGAAGAGGACCGTCGTGGACCGTCGCATGGTGGAATGGGGTACATGCGGCGCGACAGTCGAGAAAGCTGCAATTGTACGAGGTCGCGACGCACGCATGCCACTCCCGCTCGCGCTCAACGGTCCAGCAGAGATCCGCGCCAATGCCAGCGTGAGGCCCTGTCGCAAGAGATGCAGAGGCCGCGCGGCCGCGGTGACCTTCTTCTTCAGGATGATGTGTCTGAGGGGCGGCACGGCCGCGCTCACAAGCGAAGATGGGCGACTCATGTCATAGACAGGATATGTGTATTCGGCACAGGCAATTCGCTAAGAGCTCTTAGGACGTGTCATGAGGAAGAGTGAACAACCGAACGGCGATGATGAGAGCGTGGAACAAGGATCCGGAGCGGTGCCGACAAAAGACCGCGGTCCTGGTGCACTGATAAGCTGATGGATGTGATTTACTTGAGCGCGCGGTAGTACGGCGGCAGTGGAACTTATGCCTGACTTGAAAGCTACATATGCAGAGTATGATATGACTGCTACGCGTTGTATGCTATTTAAATCCGTGCTGAGTTTCAGGGAAAGATGATGACGCTTCTACGTTCGTTCAATCGCCATGGTACAGAATCAAAGCAGATGTGGTTGCAATGATACACAACATGTTCTCAATACATATGTGACACGGAGAGCACAGTGAGAAAGCTAATACAAAACAAGTGGTATCTAGATGCGACGGATGATTGACTGCAACTGAGCGAGATACGTTGAAGCTGGATCACGCAGAGCGTCCTTAGACGTCGGGCGTCGGAAAACTTTGGTAACCCTGGCAGCGTATCCACCAACGCTTAGATAGCCATACTCCAGAGCTTCCGCGGCGGAGTCAGGCGAGGCGAACGTGACAAAACCATAGCCACGGGACTTGCGCGTAAGGCGATTGACGAGTACGCGGCATTCGGTAATCTCGCCAAATGGCTCGAACGCCCACCGCAGTTGCTCATCGTCCACGTCCTCAGTAAGGCCCTGAATCGAAATCGAGTTTGGTGCGCTCGTGACATCACCGGGGTCGGGTTTGGGGTATCGTGCGAAGGGGACTCTCGTTATGTTGATCGTGTATCCGTCCAGTACCATTTCACCGTCAAGCTGCAGCGCGTGGTCAACCGCGTCGGTGGATTTGAAGGTGACATATGCGAAGCCCAATGAACTGCCCGCGTTCGATTTGACCACACGTGCGCCTGCGACTTCCCCACAGGGTTCGAAAGCCGCCTTCAGCCGAACTTCATTCGCTTTTGGCGGAAGTTTACTGACACGAATGCTATTGGAAGGAGGCTCCCCGTCTCTAATAGCATGGTAGAGTGTCGTTCGTGGCTGCGGGACATGGTGCGTAACGTTGATACGTTCCTTGTCCAGCCACATTCCATCACGGTTGCGCGCACGACTGGCTGCCTTTGCGTCTGCAAATTTGATGAGGGCGTGGACGCGGGGCGTGCGATCGCCAAGGCGACTCATCCCCACACGTATGTCGAGTATCTCGCCGCAGGATTCAAATTCAGACCTGAGTATGGCTTCATCTGCACTCAAAGCAAGACCATTGACAAAGACCGTGTCCATGTGTCTGAATAGCGCGCGCACATGCACGCGGTGGCCTCCCAGGAACTTTCCATCGAATAACAGCGCTACGTCCACTGATTTCGCCGACCGATATTTGACTGTCCCGTAGCGCAGCAGCTCGCCATAAGTATCGTCATCGTAGACCTTCGCATCAGCAATTCTACCGAGGGCAGACCACGCGTCCTTGAGGCGGGCATCGTCCATATGCGAACCAAGAGGGCCAATGACGACCGTGTTCGTGCGATGCGTATGATCAGGTGGAGGGGGGACTTCGGTATCGGCGATTGTAGAATCTGCGTCCGTAGGAGTGATCTTGCGCGGATCGGCTCTGTATTGACGAGCAGCAGAGGGGAGGAAGGGCGAGCCAGAAGGCGCTTCAACGGAAGTCCAGTGTAAGCACGACCGAGCGCGCGCGAGCACATCAACCTGCCGACGACCGATTCCGTGAAGGACCGGCCCAGTGGCGCCTGCGAGTTTGGAACGACATAGCATATCGAAGATATGTCTGTCTAGTGGCAGGCTCTCAGACGGGCCATCGGCGTGAACGTGAAGAGCGATGATGGGAGTTTGAGACAGGGCGCATCACGCGCGGCGCGCCGAACGGAATGCTTCCATAATGATACACAAACACCATTGATGTCTCTCGGCCAAAATCATCGTGATTGACCCTGATTGAGCCTTTCATTATTTACACTGGGTTTCATAGCAAGACAACGCAGCTATGTACGTTCGCTCGATCGTGATATCACAAAATGAGAGCGATGCAATTGTTACATGTCATGTTCCCATAGCATAATACGGAGAACGCGATGAGAAAGCTAGCACAGAGCAAGTGGCATCTAAATGCGACGGATGATATATTGTATCTGGGCGAGATATGTTGTTGATGGATCGGGTCGATGTTGAAGAACCCGAGCCTCTCGCTGCCATGGCAAACGCGGAAAAGCTGTGCGGATCCTGACAGAGAGCCCGTCAACGGTCATACGACCATGGTTCAGAGCTTCCGTAGCAGAATGAGGCGAGGCGAAGGTAACGAATCCATAGCCGTGCAACCCGTGCGTTGCGCGAGCGGCGTGTATGCTACATTCGACGACCTCGCCAAAACGCTCGCATGCCGACCGGAGTTGGACATCGTCCACGTCTTCAGGGAGACCATGGACCGAGATCACGTTCGAAGCGCGTGATGTATTGTCGACGACTGCGTTGCGTGAAAAAGGGACGTATGGAGAAGCTCTCTCTATGTTGATGATGTGTCCGTCCAGTGCGACTTCACCATCCAGTTGCACCGCCCGGTCAACCGCGTCGGGGGACTTGAAGGTGACATAGGCAAAGCCCAATGAACCGGCCGCAGGTGAGAGTTTCTGGACGATTGTGCCAGTGACTTCTCCACAGGGTTCGAATGTTGATCTCAGCCAGTCATCGTTAGCCTGCGGCGGAAGATTGCTGACACGAATGCTGTCGGAAGGCGGTTCCCCGCCTCGTATAGCATGATAAAGCATGGTCCTTGATCGCGGAAGATATAACACGACTTTGATTGGTTTGCCGTCCAAAAGCATCCCGGAACGCCTGAGCGCCAATTCCGCTGCCAAAGGGTACGCGAATTTGATGATAGCATTGATGCGGGCCGTTCGATCACGAGACCGAACTGTCCGCAAGCGTATGCCGATTATCTCGCCACATGGTTCGAATGCAGACCTGAGTTCGGCTTCCTCTGTATCCCAGTCAAGACCGGTCACAAAGACCGTATCCAAGTGTCTAAACAGAGCGCGCACATACACGCGGCGACCTCCCAAAAACCGCCCATCGAGTAATAGCGCGGCATCCACTGATTTTGCGGACCGATATTTGACTATACCGTAGCGCAATAGCTCGCCACCGGTGACGTCCTCGTTAACCTGCGCATCAACGATTGTACCGAGGGCAGACCACGCAGCTTCGAGGCGAGCATCGTCCATGTGCGGGCCAAGCGGACCAATGATGACCATGGTTGTGCGGTGCGTATGATCAGGTCGACGGGGGACTTCGATAATATCGGATAGCGTAATATCTGCGTCCAGAGGGACGAGCGTGCGCGGATCGATTCTGTATTGACGAGCAGCGGAGGGGAGGAAGAACGAGCCAGAAAGCGCTTGAACGAAAGTCCAGTGTAAGCACGACCGAGCGCGCGCGGGTACATCAACCTGCCGACGACCGATTCCGTGAAGGACCGGCCTAGTGGCGCCTGCGAGTTTGAGACGACATAGCATATTGAAGATATGTCTGTCTAGTGGCAGGCTCTCAGACGGGCCATCGGCGTGAACGTGAAGAGCGATGATGAGAGTTAGAGACAGGATCCGGACGCATCACGCGCGGCGCGCCGAATGTTCCCGTACGCGCCCACGATTGATCCCTTCATACATTCTTGCCCCAAACCCGGATGTGCGATTATCATGTGCTATAACTAGTAGCAATCAGAGATCTCGTTGGTAGGGGCATGCACTACGGTTGCCGGCTAGTCCGAGGCCCAACTCGCGCGTCGCGTCTCGCGCACAACGCGCGCGGCGGCAGTTATCGGGCCGACAAGGACTTACCGTATCCCCACCCTTCGCTCCAGCAGCGTACACGGCTACCAGAGTACCCTCCTGGCATAGTTATAGACCTTCGACAGCCTCCTCCGGGCGAGGTTACACCCGGGAAAGTGGCAGTAAATAGTTTCGCAATTTTCCGAATATTTCCCACGCCTTGCCCGCAGGTTGTCGACTGCTGTCGACTCTGTTGGTTCTTGACCCTTGCGGTGCTCGTCTCACCGCACACCTTCGAGGCCTAGTGAGGTTCTAGGCGTTGGAACTGTAGTGGTGTAGAGTAGAGACCGGAGGGAACTTGTACACCGATACCACAAGCTTGTTTTCTCACATCACAACTCTCTATGCTTAAAAACATGTTCAATCACCAGGAAGCCGCCATCGAAGCACTCACTTTTTTGATAGCATTTGCGCATAAACCATGACTGTATATGCGCGCTAGTGCGGCTTACCGGGCTAAGGCCTTCAACTCCTCAATGAATGAGCAATATATATTATTTAAAAATGGCGATAAAGTCTACTGGGTGTAGCTATGGTAATGTATGTCAAATTCTCGGGCATTTTGAAGCTCCTGCACATGGTACAAGTCTTACTGTTGAGTGCCCATAGCGTCCATAGTACTCCTTGTATTCCAGAGCTCGAGACCGAGGCGTGGGAAATATTCGGAAAATTGCGAAACTATTTACTGCCACTTTCCCGGGTGTAACCTCGCCCGGAGGAGGCTGTCGAAGGTCTATAACTATGCCAGGAGGGTACTCTGGTAGCCGTGTACGCTGCTGGAGCGAAGGGTGGGGATACGGTAAGTCCTTGTCGGCCCGATAACTGCCGCCGCGCGCGTTGTGCGCGAGACGCGACGCGCGAGTTGGGCCTCGGACTAGCCGGCAACCGTAATGCACTACGACATGGCAGCCATGCGGCGCACTCGAGGATATGTTCAACCAGATGTAATATACAACAAAGGTCGTAACCAAAGAATATATACCCCGATCGTTACTACGCTGACTGCAAATCATTTGTATTGCGCCTCTCCCAGTCTCGTGAACTCTCAAATGTAAACGCTCTCCTGATCTTGACCGTATACCCATCAACAACTATTTTGAAACTGCGACTAAGAGCCTCATCCACCGAGTTGCGCTCGGCGAACGTGACAAACCCATAATCACGCAGCCTACGCGGGCCCCCGAATCTGGATCCTCGGAATCTGCACCCTGACAACCTCCCCAAAACGCTTAAACTCTTCCTTGAGTCGACCTTCGTCCAAACCGGGAGCCGAATATTTGACGTATATCGTATTCTCCGTGAACTTGCCCTCATCGGGAGTCGGCTGCGCTCACTGCTCAGAACTATATGCGAGCCCGGGGGTAGTCTCAATATGCAGGGTATGCCCTGCGACGTTTAGACCGTGCATCTGCAGAGCATTTTCCGCGGAGGCGGGCGAAGCGAAATTGATGTAGCCAAAACCGAGCGAATTGCCTGTTCCGGGGGAGTCCGCTGTCCTGAAATGCCTCTGCACGCGCGCCATAACTATCTCGCCGCAACCCTCGAAGGTGGTCCTCAGCCAGTCATCATCGACTTGCGGCGGAAGATGCTTGATCATGACGGCGGTCGGAGCACGATCATCGCCTTGCTTGGCTGAATTGAGGACATGTGTAGATCGCGGCATAGACAGGGTGACGGTAAGAGATCTGCCATGAAGCTTTGTCCCGCTCATGTCGGCGAAAGCTTTGCTGGCGGATTTGGGTGACTCAAATTGCACGAAGCCATGGAAATCGCGTTTGACGCGTCCGTGCTTAGTTGATCGAATGGTCGCGCGAACGACCTTGCCACAATGCTCGAATACACGTTTGAGCTCCTCCTCGTTGACATCCCAGGATAGCCCTCTAACATGGACTTCATCAACATGTCTGACGAGTGCTCGCACGGATACCGGCTGGCCGTCCATAACCTTCCCACCGAGTTTCAGCGCCTCATCGACCGATTGCCTCGAGGAGAACGTGGCGTAGCCGTAGCGTAATGAGGCGCCCGTCCGCGCATGCCGCCGAATGCGCACATGAACGATGTCGCCACAAGCTGAGAGAAAACTCGAGAGTCCAGCCTCATCAAGGTCATGCGGCAGAGGGCCGAGCATGATGGTCTTGGTGCGCTTCGTTGGGCGCCGCGCGTCGGGGCTTGGGTCTGCGGGGTTGTGGCGCGGCGCCTGCTTTAAGTCTCGTAGTGTTGGCGCGTTGGTCGTGAAGGGAGTGGATGCAATCAGCTTCCGTCTGGCAACGTGGTATAGTGTTGGTGTCGCAGATGTATTCGGGACGTGTGGTTGCACTAAGTGAGTGGACAGTGCACTCAATGAACGGCATGATTCAGGCCGAGCGCGCTCGACCGTCACGGCACGTCTACGTAGAAAGGAATTCATCGTCTTTGACAGGATTCGTTGAGACATGAGGGCGTGACAGGTGGCAAGACTACGCGTGAAGAAGTCAAGGGCTTTATGTAGCTAGCCGTAGGGACACGAGCTAGTGCTAAGTAGCAGTGAGGGCATGAAGGTACAAGACAACATCAGCGGCCCTGGGAAGCGCTTCGGAGTTTTCGGCCCGCGTCGCGCTGTTCAAACTGGGCCCACGACTCTCTGCTCGATGAGATAACTGTCTCGCTAGTAATGCGTATTGTCGCGACGGTATCCATCAGCCATCCTAATCGTCATGGTATTCGTACTGTGAGCCATCATATGGCAGTGCCGCTAGTAGCAGACGCCAATTATGTATAGCAATTTCAATGCAACAGCTGGTAGAACATCGTAAAGGACTAAGGCCCAACTCTCGTTTGGGTATCATCCGTCTTTCCCTCTCCGAGCGCGCGAATGGTAACAGGCGACCCATGTATACTCATCCCAGTATTCCTGATAGCCTCCGCCGCCGCTCCAACGCTATCAAACTGGACACTTCCAAACCCCAAACTCTGTCCGCTCATCCGATGCCTAAACACAACGACTTTCCGAACGTCCCCATACTGTCTGAACGCTAGCCGTAGCGTAGCTGGTCCGACATCCTTGGGGAAACCGCGGACGAGCACGCGGCTGGTGTTGAGATCGCTCGGCTTGGACGGGCGGTGGAGGGCGAGGACGGCTTGGTGTGGCTCGGCGCGGTGAATGCTGATAGGGTGGGAGTCCATATGCATGCCGTCAAGTTTGAGGGCCTTGTCGACGGAGGACGGGGAGACGAAGACGACGTATCCAGAGACGAAGGAGTCGTTCGTTCCTGGTGCGTTGTCCGTCTTGGCTGCTTCATGTATACGTGCATGGGCGATCTCGCCACACCCGGAGAAGAAATCGCGCATCCGTTCCTCGTTAAAGACCGGTGGTAGCCGAGCAACGATCGTTCTCGAGACTGGTATAACATCGCCAATCAAACCCTGCTCCCCTTCAAGGTCTGGCTTCGCGAGCGAAATGCTCAATCGTTTCCCTTCCACCTCCATCCCAGACAGCTCTACAGCCCTCGCCGCCTCCTTGGCCGAGCCGAACGTGACAAAGCCAGAATGAAGTAGCGTCTTCCCTCTCCGAATCTTTCGCGTCCTAGCATCATTCACCCGTCCATACCGCTCAAAAAGCGCTCTCAACTGAAACTTGTTCATTCCCTCCGGCAGATCGCGTATATAAACCTCGTTCAACCGTTCCTCGAGGGCCCGAACGTGCATCGTATACCCGTCGACTTCCTTCCCGTCGAGTTGGAGCGCTTTCCTGGCAGCTCTCTGGGCCGTGAACCTGACGAATCCATAGCCTAGAGACTGCTTTGTTTGGATATCCCTGCAGACGGAGGCCTGTTCGACCTTCCCGTAGCGCGTGAATAAAAGCTTTAGTTTGTCGTTGTCGATGTCAGGCGAGAGAGGGGCGGCGACGATTGTGATCTTAGGCTTCTCTTGAGGCGCAGGAGGAGGTGAACGCTTTATTGTCTCGACAAGCGAAGGTATTTGATGTACCGCGGTAGCAGAGGTAGCGCGCGGCTGCGTTGTGGCGGGCCGGATATTCGATGCACTGGCTATTGGAGGAAGCTCAGCGACGGCGTGTGTAGGGAGCGCGCGATGGAGAGTTCGACGTGTACTGTGTTTCGCGCAAGCAACGACTGCAGCGGCCTTTGACGTGGATGCAGCACAGTGTCTGAGCGGCGTCATGGCGAGGCGGCTAGTGACCAATAGCTGTTGATGAAGAGTTGTACGAGTAGAGTGTAGTCGTAGCCAGAATCCAGACTATAAGACCTGCCGCAGGTGCATGTAGAAGGCGGGAGGTGATGACGGCGGGAGGCAAGATGGCCGAAGGTTGGCCGAGGATCAACTGCCGGGAGTAATACGCTGAGCGCTCTCCAGCGAAGCGTCACTGGGTATCAGCCGCTTGACCCTGAATCTTCAAGTTCATTTGCTATCCTCCTTCGAGCGCAACAACACGCAATAGAGGTCGAAGGGTAAATAATACATCACAGACCAAGTCTCGAACCACTACACGCCTAGTCACTATCGCTATCACTACTGCTGTCCCCACCCTTCCCATCATCGTCAGTAGTACTCTCATCATCGCTCTCATCAGCCCTAACAGCCTTAACCTTTCCACCCCTCATGACAGCCATCTGTCCCGCAAGAGTATCCTCCTCAGGGTCTGAGATATCATCTTCCTCGTCCTGCGCGTCGCTCACTTCCTCCACGCGGAGCTAGTCATAGAATCAGCATCTGTTTGCAAGCGCAACGATTCGAGAGGGAGCTTACAGTGATATCCGTCGACACGTCCTCCCCAATGAACGTATCGCTCACGACCATAATCCTCCACGGGAACACGCCCGTCCCAGGCGGCCCATTAAACTTGAGCTTATAAGCCCTGCTCTTCCCAAACGGAATATCCGTGATCTTCTGCGGTGGAATGACGGCGCGGTGTTGTCTGGGGTCCGCAAGAACGATCCACCAGCTGGGTTTGCGCTGGCCGGGCCAGTGCGGGGCATGCGCGGCTCCTAGGGCGTCGGATCCCGCGGGCAGGTCTTCGGCGTCTTTGGGGTCTTGGAGGAAGGCTTCTTCTTCTTTGAGCGTCATTGTGGGCTCTTCGGGGGAGGGTTTGAGGGAGCCGTTGGTGGTGTTGGGTGTTGAAGGTACTAGGCGGAGTTTGACGACCAGGTGGATGAGTGCGGAGGGCGTGACGGTCTTCTCGCCGATGACTATGAACATGTCAGTACGGTTGTTCACGGAGGCAGCTCGTGAAACGTACCTTTGAACGCGGCGTCGACAATCACGGCTTTGCCCCAGCGGTTTGCAACCTTGAGAACATCCTCGCTATGCGCATCGCCCTTCTCCTGCAAAGCTTTCGCGATGCCGGTGATATCGCTGGCCTGAATCTCCGCCGCGTCCTTTTCGTCGACAGGTAGTTGCGCGAGGAGGGCCCTCGAGCCTGTGAGGTCGGGGGAGACGGCTTGGGCAAGGTATGCCTGGAGCTTCATTGCGGCGAGCATCGGCGCGAGCCAGTTGCGTGGTGCGGATATGTTGAGGTATGCGTTGAGTAGCGCGGGCGTGTGTAGGACTACGCGTGCCTGGGCTGCTTGGAGAGTCGGGTCGTTGACGGGCAGGCGAAGCAAATGTGCGTATAGCAAGACCAATGCACGAATACGCCCAGCCTCGTTGTCCGGGATAGAGTTCCGAACATCTTTCCACCCATCCCTAAGCTTCTCCGCAATCTGACTCTCGAGCGCCTTCAGCTCCTCCTCCGCCTTCGCGCTCTTGAGCTCGACCTTCTTCCACTCCGCTGCCTGCCCCAACGCCTTAACAACATCTGGCATCTCGCTCGTCTCCTGCACAGCTTTGAAGAATGCAGCGGCCGTATCGTTGAAGACGCCGTCTTTGGTCTTTTGACGGGAGCCGAACCACCAGTTGTAGACCATGGCGGGGAGAGCGCCGCCGAAGATGAGGCCGTAGGCGGCGAGGACCCAGATGTTGTTTTGAGCTTCGACGATCCATTTCGGGAGAGCGATGCCCATGCTCATTTCTTGGCGGCCGTCGGGGTTGCCGTATTCTTCGAGGTTCTTGCGGATCTCTGGGTCGGTCAACCTGAATGGTGTTTGAGTTCGTCTGCACGCGTGAAGTGAGGCACGTATACGCACGATTTGTAAGCCTTTGTGAGGTCGACGAAGTACGTGGAGACCTCTTCGATGGTTTGGTTAACCGCAAGCTTGACCTTGTCCGGGTGGCTGAACGATAATCAGTATGATGATAATGCATGATGCACAGTCAAGTGTACGCACAACTTCAAGGAGAGCCTCTTGTAATGCTTCTTGATCTCCTTCTCCGTCGATCCCATGCTGATACCCAGAATCTCGTACGGGTTGTAGACAGAGCTCTCAGTCTTAGTGTAGTACATCTTGATCGAGAGTCCAATTAAGACAATCCATCCGACGACCAAGAAGACGGTTCTACGCCATCATATAAGCACACAGAATATTAGAATATGAGTGCTGTACGCACTTCTTGGTCACCGTGACCTGTCGCCACGCCGCGCCCTCCAGTGTCTTGATCTTCTTCCTCTGTTCCACGCACGGACCGCACTCGCATTGCGCACGCGCCGCAGGTTGTTCTGAAATCCCCCGTTAAGTGACAAACTCCCCGATATATATTCAACACACGTAATCAACACACTTTGAGCCGCACGAGATGGACGCGCGGACAGCGTAAGCGGAACCAGGATCATGAAAAGAAAGGTGATGACAAAGTACAGGGCCATATTGCCCGACTCGTCATACGAGTACGCCGCCATGGCGGGCGACTAAAGAATATAAGCAAGGGAGATGGGTGTACGGGAAAGAGTTGTTGAAAGGCAGTCTGGCACGTAGCGCGCGACGTGGCTTTCGAACGCGTCTTCTATTGATGGGAATATATATTGATCGCGCTCACGCGTGTTTCTTCCTCGCGTCCATCACCTGTCATGCCAGCTTTACGCGTGCGCGTCGAGAGCGCGCCGCCTCTCCCGCCTCTCAAGGCCTGGTTACCTCTGAATGAGGACCAGCATGAGACCGTAATGGACTTGCAAGCCGAGCTGTGCATGCGCCTGAACACAAAATACTCTGCGATTGTGTTGACCCTCGATGGTTATGAACTCATTGCTAGTTCTCCTGTCCGTGACGTGATTCGCGACGGAGAACTTATTGTGTACGTGGCAGGTTCTTGTACGCTATTTCTTGAGGAGACTGAACAATATCCAGGATTCGCTCTTCGGTGAAGCCATTGAAACGCTTGGCTGAGCCTGAGCCTGAGCGGCCGAGGAAGAGAGCCAAGCTTCTACCGAAAGCGGCATCACTCACGTTCGAGGCCATTCCGGCTGCATCTTCGAGCTCGAGCTCCTCCTCATCGTCGTCCGACTCCTCCGACTCTACGTCGGATGACAGCTCCTTGGACTCAGACTCGAGCTCAGACGCAGATTCGGACTCGGACTCGGATTCCACGTCAAGCTCGGACTCAGGACCGTCTACCCTACCTACGACCAAATCCGCGGCGCAAGTACGCAAACAAGTGACCAAACCGTACGTGCTACCGCATGTTCTCATAGCACCATCTTAACACTTCTGCAGGCTACCATCTGCAGCAAAGGCGCTTAAATCGTAAGTCTGTCCATCTACAACACGCAAACCACATCTCATCTTGCCACAGTCAACAAACTACACCGCACATCCCACCTGGCCATGGCAAAGCTTCAACCCAATCTCGCAACGCCCGCAGACGCAAGAAACGCGAGTTCGAACGCGTAGCTCAGTCTGCGCCCATAGCCGGCGCTTCCGCGGCGAACTCTACACCTCTCGGCGTACACAGTCACAATACGGAGTCTGCACCGCCATTTGCGTCTGAGCTTCCGACCGCAACGAATGGTATGGACGTAGACGGGACTGTATACCCCGACGCGAACAGCGACCAGCCCGACATGCTCTCGTTCTCGAACAAGAACAAGCGTCGAGGCTTCAAACGCGCCATGGCCGACATCCCACCCCAACGCATCACCTTCCATGATGAGACCGCTCTCGCTCAAGTTGCCGGTCCATCCTCAACACCTCTGCGACCTTCCGCCTCACGTCCTACCTCGCCCACCAAACCTCCACGCCTAATCCCACCCTCCGAGAAAGCAGCCCTTGGCATGTTGCCGCCCGGCATGATTGTGACGAGCGTAGACGTTGAAGCCGGGATGTGGCCAACGAAGAATTTTGACAAGAAGCGGAAGAAGAAGCAAAGAGACGCGTGGGGCACCGAAGAGCATGCGCAACATAGTCAGGAGTACATCCCCGCCGGACGACAGTCGGCATCTCAGGAGGACGATTGGAGCGGTGCGCTGCCATATGGAGATGGTGAACACGGTGGAGGCGTTGCCGAGTTTATGAAGATACTTGGTGGAGCGCTGGGCCATGGAGAGAAGGAGGTCAAAGAGGAGATGCTCGATTGGGCTGATCTTGAGACGCGGTTCGATGCCGCTCATCCTGTTTCTCAAGAGAGTTTGAAGGCTGGTAGCCTGGTGGCGTGGAAGGTATGCTCTCTTCCTCCCGCCGGAGTCGATACGCGCGTTAACGGCTTCAAACAGGAATTCGGTGTTCATCCTGTACGGCTTACACCGGAGATGGTCGTACATGCTGCGATGGTGGAGAGCGTCGATACCGCCACGGGGAAGGTCGCGATACGCTCGGCGCGTCGCGAGGCTACGTTCGGAGCACTTGAGGAGGAAGGAGAGCCCGAGATCGCCGAGTATGAGCTGAGTGCGCTCGGGCAGTTGGGGTGGAAGAGTATGTAAGGCCGAAGGGTTCATCTTGCTTCTATCTGTTTGCTCTTTGATCTATAAGATGATCTGCTCTTCATGTATACCAGTCGAGCACCGGACAGCTGCCTACAGTGCAGACCTGTTCGGCGGCTGTGGGCGCGTGTTGACGATCTTGACGCGTGACGTCACAGGCTGACTTCTGCCTGGCACAACAAGGCGCGACGCGTCTGCCGGTGTCCAGCGTCCTCATTCCTTGCATGCGCAGGTGCATGTCGGTATCCAGTGCGTCGCGCTCGCTGATATATGGCATATGTAGCGTGAGCAGAGGATGACATTTGACAATTGGCCTACCGGCGCGCACGTTCGCGCTGGGTCAGAGCATCGCATTCAGATCTGGGCTGACTACGGGAATAGACGGCCTTGACCAGCCAATGAGCATTCGAGGCAGCTCTACGGAGAACCCCTATACATCAGCCCCAGATAGTACTTAAACCTCACACATTCTAGTCTGACACCCCATCGCTCGCTCGCATCTTTCATCTGCACCGCCAGCTTGTCTACTCGTGTTTACACCAGTCTTCCAACATGTTCCCCACCTACGCGAACTCTTCTGTGTACAGCGAGGGCGCCTTCTTCGTCTCGTCCGCGGAGAGCGTTCCTTTTAACTATGACCGGGTTGACCTTACCGGCCTGATTGGTCTCGGGCTTCAGAGCCTCGTAAAGGCTGGCAAGCGCAGGGTGCTCGGTACGTCCAGTCCGGTTTCATCTCCCTTCTTGACAGTCAGTCCTGACTCCATCTACAGGGTTTATGCGTAAGGATCTGGCCAATCCCCAAGCAGAATGCTCGCAGTCTTCCTCGTCGCCTGTCACAGCGGACAACAACGTCGACGACACGGCAGCTCTCACTCCTAGTGCGACTTTCGACCCCAGCCCGTTCGTCTTCGGCATTGCTCCACCGGTCGTCGACATCCAATGTCACCGTCACGACCACCCTTATTGCGCATCCATGTACGCCTCGCCGCGTACCTTCACGGCCCCACCGCTCTACTCCGAGGAATCGATCAGCGCTACAACTTACGAGGCGCCCCAAGGAGTCGGTCTGGGTCTGTTCGGCGTCAACGTCCCGTCGAGCAATGGCAGTATTGTGACTGAGGAGGAACTTCGTGTTGAGGAGAGGAAGAGGTTCGCGGGCGTGCCTGGCTGGTTCCGGCGCTCGTCTTTTGGTTTTAACGATGTGAGTGGGGCTGATATGGGTATGGGGGACGATGATTCGGCGGAGCTTGAGCGTGTTCGGCGATGGTCTTCAGCGTGGGGTCTTGACCTTGATGATTAGAGTATAATGTTGCAGTGATTGCCTCTAGTAGTAGCTTGTATCCCCCTAGATAGTTTGTTTTGCCTATAATATAGAGCGTAGAGTAGGGTAGCGTACATAGTAGTAGTAGTAGTCGCGAGCTGACCGTGCCCCAGCTAGCTCCCCCCGGCGACATACAGGACAACTACCCTCCCTCTACGGATCAACTTCAACTCAAGCCCACTGGACAGGATCAAGACCAGGATCGACAGGACCGGCCCGACGTGTGATCTCGGCGTGTGATCTCGGCGTGTGATCTCGGCGCGTGATCTTCTGTACGAATAACGAGAAAGTGGATCATAGTGAGCAAAGCCAACGTGACCCGGGTCGAGCGCATACATAAGATGAGAGTCAGAGAACGTCAGAGACACTTGAGTTGAGAGTTTGGTTCTAGCCCGTGAGGCAAATGGTCTCACCAGACTGCCTTGACGGACGACTTGTTAGTCGTTAGCTCTTTCAGTCTGAGATACCTTTGTTTCACGCGCTGACGACCATGGAAAGAGTTATTCTGCTTGAAATGTATGCATTGGCTACGGGCATACATGACCTGGAGACGATATTTGCTCAAGCGTCCATGCCTCGCATCAAAGTGCCAGGTCGTACATGATCTCCTCTTCTTCACCTATCAAATGGACTCCTGACATCGCCTCCAGCCTCTCTACCTCTTGTAGGATTCCCTCCGCGGTCCCAGGCGTGCGGAGAGATGTGGTTTCGCGAAGCCAGCGGACTGCGTCCTTAATGCGAAGATAGACGGCTGGTAGTGCGAAACCCGCTTCGCGACGCGCATCAAGGGTGTCTGCCAGAGGCTGCACGGTGCGCGAGTCAGAAAGTCCGAGCAGCTCCCACAAGGTGATGTCCGGGATTTCCACCAGTCGAAGCGCGGGGAAGAATGTTGGAACCTCTGCATCGGCATCCACAGTGAGAAAATGGCTGGCACTGCGAATGCCGGTCAACTGCAGGATGTGGACATCTCGGAGCACGGTGGTGACAATGTTTTTGTGCAGAACGAGGCTGACATCAGCGGCGGGGATACCGAGAGACAGCAAACGTAATCCAGTCGGAGTGAGATCTTTCATCAAGCTCAACAAGGTTGATGCTGAAGAATCCCTCCATGGTAGCTGAATGTCAAGATCGGGGAGAGTTCCCACGATACCCTCATGCCAGCCCGGTGGGATACGATGCATCCAGGACGTGGATGTCAAGGTATCGGACGATCGGAATGCACGGATGGTTGCGATGTTTCGTTTTACTTCGACCGCTCCGAACCCATGATAAAGCACAGGATCCCGTTTGCTGTATGCAGCTAATCGGGCATATATGGAACGAAGATCGGCCGGCGTAAAGTCGTCTTCGTTCTGTACAACGACAGAGAGTCTACTTGAAGGCAGCGGGCGGATGTGTTCCATAAGGTGGCGTATCATAGACCAGGACCCTCTAAAGGCTAATGTGCGTAGCTTGGTGCTTGTCACCAGCGCGGGCGGAGAGCAGGAAGGACACGAGTGCCCTGAATCTTGAGTGGAAGAGATGCCATTGCCCAAGCGCAAGTGCACTAGATTAGGCATCGCATCCAGTGCATCCAGAAACTCGTTCATAGACGCAGCGGTGATGCCCTCATAGAAGTATATGTCGAGGACCACAAGGGTGCGGAGGAAAGGTGCGCGCCAAGGAAAGGTTTTACAGCCAGCGGTGTCTGATGCGAGATGGAAGGAGAGGTGTCGGAGGCAAGGGGCATCATCGCCAAGCAGCACATACTGAGGGAAGTCGCCTGTAAGCTCGACTGAAAGATTCTCCAAAGCCGGCCATGGGCCGGACAGCATGGGGAATAATGATCCGTCAGCCACGAGCTGTGCTTCGAAGTTGCGAAGTCTCTTGTAGTGATGAGGAAAGATGAGAGTTTCCATCACATTGAATGGCACCAGGCCGGGGAGCTTCTGAGTTCGCCATGCTTTCCAATCAATGGAAATGCCCATGTCTCCGCTACGGTTCAAGAACTCTCGCATCCACTTGACGCCGAGCACGACAGGGACGTCAGTCCAAAGACCGGCGTCGCGAAGAGCCGAATTTCGCCAACGAGCGCAGACGTGCGTAAGAGAAATCCAGGCGAGCAAGAACAATGTTCTCTCCGCTTGAGTGACCCAGGTATGATGTCCGCCAAAGCTCGAGCTGATATCGATTGCAGATGGAATGGGGAAAATATCTTGTACGGTGCGGAATATGCCGAGAAGTGTCTCTGCTGGCAATCGTGCACTGAGATCCATGAGGAGGTAAAACGAGCTAGGCGTTGAGAGATGTAATTGCGGTAGGATCTTCGATCCAACGATGATGGGCTCCGCAAAGAACGAGGCTCCGCGCGCGAGCACATCAGGCGCGTCACGTTGATTCTCACGCCCGCGGAAATTGATCACTTGGATCACACCAGTAGTATGCCTCAGACAATAGCGTAGGCACTCATAGGGCAAGCGGCGCTGCGAGTACGCATGTAAATCGGGCGGTCAACTTCTGAGTGACCGCTATCGGCCTCCATGATCGCTGAGATCGGGAATGACAATGTAGTAATATAACATTTCGTTTGAGGCAAGGCGGCAGTCAGCCGGTGGTATCATGAGATATAAAGGTGTAGGTACCACCATCCACTATCCAAGCAATACGACACGTTGTATCCTGGGCGATCTAAAGCCGTCACATGTACATGCTATACGGGATATCATGGTCCTTCCCTATGATCTTCACCTCGGGTCTTGCGATCAAAGCATTCACCGCGCGCTGAACGCTCGCAGCGTCCGGATACTCCGAGCAACTATGGTTGCATCCACTCTGCAGATCATCGATCTCTTCGGCCAGGCGGAGGTACACGGCAGCCACGGGCAGCCCCGCCTGTTGACGCTCGGCGAGAGTACTGAAAAGAGGTGCTTCGGCGGTAGCATCTTCAGGAGGTCCGATTAGGTCCTGAATCCAACATTGCTCGAAGTCCAGCACCTTGAGCGCTGGGAAAGATGAGATCGTCCCTGATTCATCTGCGCCGCACAGCAAGTCATGCAGTACGGGCTTCGGGAGCGGGTATGCCAGGCGCAAGACAGACAAGCGCGGAAAGGCGACACTGAAGATCGAGGCGGAATCCGAGTCAAAGCTGTACTCGAAGGAGTACCAAAGCAGCCTGACTTCATCACCCAGAAAGGCTTTCGATGTGGTGCACAGATTGCGCAAGACTGAGTCGAAAGATGACTTGATGGTGACATCCGGGCGACCAACTCTCAGATCGTCTGCATCGTACCACTCTTGTTCCGCGGTAGTAACACCTGAGAAGGTAGGGGTGCGCAAAGCGCCAAGATTGAACATTGCGACGCGATAGTCGAGCATGATATGAACAGAAGTGAACGGTGGAGGGGGTGGAGACGAGCACTCGAAGGTCGAGGCTAACTGCGCGCATGTCCGTTTAAGACCGCCGATATTGGGATCCTCTTCGGTATCGGGATTGAAGGGCTCCCGGCGCATGTTAAGGGTAACTTTGGTCGAGGCGGGAAAGGTGATATGCTCCATGATATGACCGATCATTGGGCAGGTACACGTGAACCCGAGAGTCTTCAATTGTAAGACCACCTTTCGAGGAACCTGTCCACCTGAATGTGACCCGGAGCACGGTGGACACGGTGAAGTCGAAGAAGGAGGGTACACTCCATTCCAAAGTTGAAGATGCTGTAGGTGCGGCATACTGGAGAGTGCATCTAAGAAGTTTTCCATCGAACCCGCATCGATACCTCCATTAAACATGAGGTCGAGGACGTTCAAGGAGCGGAGGAACGGGGCTTTCCAAGGGAAAGAATCACATCCACTGAAGCCGCCACCCCCGACGCGATAGCTTAGCTTTCGCAGAGGCGACGCTTGGTTGGCAAGAAGGGTGAGCTCGGGTATGTATGTTGTCATCCAGATCTGTAGATCTTCCAACACCGGCCAAGGGCACGAAAGCATTGCATAGAATGGTGAAGTCGATTGAAGTTGTGCGTGGAAATTGCGAAATCGCTGGAAATGAGGGAGTATGGCGCGCAAGAAGGTCTCGGAGACCCTCGTAGTTTGACGTTGTCGGTGCCAGTCGATAGAGACGGACATATCCTGACTGCGTTGCAGGAACTCGGACAACCACTCGTTGCCTAGTACGACTGGCACCTCGGTCCATAGACTGGCGTCGCTGAGTGCTAGCTTTCGCCAACGAGCGCACACGAATGTGATATTGATCCATCCAATTAGATATGTTCTGAACGAGCTGGGAGCCTGCTTCAGCGTCGCGCGATTGCTGTCGACGTAACTCGAGAGCGGGATACCGTTCACGAGGCGCACGGCATGGAAGATTTCGAGGAGCGTTTCCGAAGGTAATGCCGCTGTAGAGTCCATTTCACTCGGCAAGTGCGCAAACGAATATAGAGATACGTGCGGAGGAGATGGTGGTGGTAGGTATCAAGTCCGCTGGCGCCACACGCGCGCGTAGTACGCACGGACATGGATCACCGCGAGCAAGCCACGCCCTCCGGCAGATTCCGCTCACATTCGAGGTTCGCCGGCGCTGAGTATAACCGCGCACATAATTTCACTGGCAGTTACAGTCCCATTTTGCGGCGATCATGTAAAGTGAACATATACGTTTCCCTGATCTCACAATCTGATGGTATGCACTTTATAGCATAGAAACGCGCTAACGACGTCTGTATTATTTTATGCAGGGCACTCACGCGCCCAGCGGGGGGCGAGAGGGGAAGGAGGGATCGCAGGGCATCAGACATGGGACATGATGATCGGACGTGAAGCGCAAGAACGAGTACTGTGCATGGTAGACCAGAGAAAGCAGAGACATGTGATGCGAGATGAGAGCAAACAGATGGGAATGGCACAAACAACATGCAGGAGCAGGATAAGCAGGTTCATATCAAGGATGCTCTAGTCGAAGGTGACCTTGCTACCCTCGAACGCGGCGATGCCGCCGGTGCGAGCACCTCCACCGCGGCTGCCTCCACGGCTGCCACGGCCACGACCACCGCGGTCACCACCGAAGCCACGGCCTCCACCTCCACCACGACCTCCACCGCGTCCGCCCCAGCCACCGTCCTGTCCACGTCCGCCGCCAAAGCCACCACGGCCACCGCGACCTCCACCACGACCGCCGCGGTCACCGCCAAAGCCGCGACCACCACCGCCGCCGTTGCTGTCGCGCGGCTGCGAGTAATCCAGACGAATGGGACGGCCGGCAATCTCAGAGCCAGCAGCACCCTCGAACGCCTTCTTCGCCGCCTCGATGTCGGAGAACTCGACGTATGCGAAGCCCTTCGGCCTGCCAGACTCGCGGTCCGTCGGCGCACGCACGCTCTTGATGTCACCATAGTCGGCGAAATGCTCCCAGAGCGCGTCCTCGCTCGCGTCGAACGAAAGGTTACCGACAAACAGCACCGCGCTGGGTGGGCTGACCTTGTCGCCGAACGCCTTTGCGCGGTCGCCCGCTTTTGCGCGCGCGTCGCCGGCGTTGGCCGTGCGGGTCGACTTGTCGATGTTTACGGGACGACCGTCGATCTCTTTGCCGTTCAGCTCGAGCGCCTTGGCGACAGCGTCGGGCGTGGTGAACTCGACATAACCGAAACCGCGCGACTTGCCGGTGTTGCGGTCCATCTGGACACGCGCGGAGACGACCTCGCCGCACTGCTCGAACTCGGACTTGAGCCAGTCGTTGTCGACGTTCCAGGAGAGGCGGCCGACGAAGATGGAGGTGGTCTCCTCCTCGCCGTTGGTAGCCGGTGCAGCGTCGCCATTAGCGAGCTTGACCTTCTTGGCGGGAGGCGCAGACTCCTCAGCCTTGCGCTTACCTGCAAGAAATGTCAGTACGTAATTTGCGTTGAGACAGGCGAAAAAATCCCACCGTTGGTCTTGGGCGCCGCAGCGTCGGCCATCTCAACGTCTCCATCCGTATCCTCCTCGTCGGAGTCAGAGTCGTCAGAAGAGTCGCTAGACTCTGCCTTCTTCGCGGCAGCGGCAGCCTTGGGCGCAGGCGCTTTCTCCTCCTCGCTCGAGTCTGAGTCCGAATCAGAGTCGTCAGAAGACGCGGCCTTCTTCGCTGCGGGAGCGGCAGGTGCAGCCTTCTTGGTGGCAGGCTCGTCGTCGGACGAGTCGGAATCAGAGTCGTCGCTGTCGGAGTCGGCCTTCTTCGATGCAGGCGCAGGAGCCTTCTTCGCGGGCGCCTCTTCCTCGCTCGAAGACTCCTCAGATGACGACTCAGCCTTCTTCGCGGGTGCAGCCTTAGCCGGTGCAGCCTTGGCTTTTGACGGCGCAACGGCGGCCTTTTTGGGTGGAGCGGGCTCGTCGTCGCTATCAGAGTCCGAGTCCGAGTCGTCAGAGGATGCAGCCTTCTTCGCGACGGCAGCCGGCTTCACGGCAGCAGCCTTTGACGGCTCCTCATCGGAGCTGTCGCTCGAATCAGAGTCGGAAGATGCGGCAGCCTTAGCCTAGAAAATTGTGTATTAGCAAAAGGAAATTTGTGTACAGGCGGTGAGGAAGAAAAGACACGAGACAAGAGACCCACCTTGCCGTTAGCTTTGCCGTTGGCCTTGCCATTCGCAACCGCGGCCGGCTTCTTCACCTCGGGCTCGGAGTCGGAGTCGGAAGAGTCGGAAGACGAGTCCTTGGCTGCGGGAGCAGGCGCCTTCTTCGTCTTTGCCTACATTAGTGTCACTCGTCGGTACTAAGAACTCTATATGTAAAGGATGAAACGCGCACCTTGGCCTCAGCAATGATAGCGGCCGAAGACTTTGCGACCTTCTTCGCGGGGGCGGCAGCCTTGGACTTCACGTCCTTGACCTTCGACGCCTTTTTATCAACCTTGTCGGCCTTGGCCATTGTAACGAAAGAAACAAGGAAGAGGTGGGGGAGTTAGGGGGGAAGAGGTGTGGTGGTCGTAGACGAAGAGCACTTTCGAATTTTTCGAGGGAGAAGATGTTCCCGGGGAAAGCCACGTGGGACCGGATCCCGGCCGCTCGGCGCCGGAGCCACACGTTTCCTTGCTTTGGCTTTACTCACCTTGATCGCTCAGCTTACCGTTTACCTTTGACGTTCACGATGGCGGACGACACGGCGTTCGATGTTGTCGTGCTTGGGACGGGTCTGACAGAGTCTATCGCTGCTGCGTAAGTGACTAGATGGATATATCAGGAACACAGATTAAGTGTACAGTGCGCTCGCAAAGGCGGGCTTCAAGGTCGCTCAGATCGACGTGAACGAGTACTACGGCAGCGATCAAGCCAGCCTCGCCGCAGACGAACTCGCAACATGGGCAGATACACGACCAACCTCTTCTAGCGCTACGTCATACTCAATATCACGCTCCGGCGACGTCCCGCCTTTCGCACGGCACTACTCGCTGTCTCTGGCGCCTGCATTGTTGCCTTCAACCGGGCCCTTCCTCTCTGCTCTGATATCCTCAGGAGTCTCGCGATATGGAGCATACCGACTTCTGGAGCGTGTTGCGGTATTCGATAATGGTGCCCTACGTGCTGTACCCGCGAGCAAGGAGGACGTCTTCAAAGCATCAGAGCTCTCGCTTCTCGACAAGCGCCGTCTGATGCGCTTCTTGACATTTGCCGCAGGCGAATTCGAAGGAAAGCAGGAGTTGGCAGGGAAAGAGACCATGCCCTTTGTCGAGTTCTTGAACTCTACGTATTCGCTCGGCGACAAGCTCGCGCACGCGATTGCGTACGCTCTGGCGTTCTGCGCGTCTGCCGATGGTACGTCTTTCGATCTCACGCCCATCCATTCCTATCGCTGATCTGCATACCGTTAGAGCCGACACTTCCATCTCTCACTCGTCTTCGGGCATACCTTCGCTCCTCCGGCCGCTACGGTCCTTCGCCATTCCTCGTCGGACACTACGGCGGCCTCGGCGAGATCGCGCAGGGATTCTGTCGGGCTGCAGCTGTAGCTGGCGCCGTGTACATTCTAGGACGCTCTTCGATCGATGTCGAGCGTACTGAGGATGGGAGATACTCGTTCAAACTCAACGACATCCCCGACACCCTCACGGCCGATATCTTGCTGTCTGCGCCAGATATACTTCCTAAGAATCTCGAAACGCCCCCACCGCGGGCGGACGGGGCATCGCTTTCGGAGGTTGAGGCTGTCGCACGCGCCGTGCTGATTCTTGACGGCCCCTTGGCGTTTCCTTCAACATCGGCATCTTCATCTTCGGCGGCCGAAGAGACAGCAGATGGCGTTGACGCCTGTGAAGAGGAATCAGAGAAGACGGTCGACACGGTAGTAGTCGTCTTCCCCCCTGGTGCACTTCCGGGAGGGTCTCAGGATGCAGCCGTACACGCTTTCATAACAGGGCAGGGAACTATGTCTGCTCCTGCGGGTAAATGTACGCCTATCTTTGCTATCCAAAGGTCAAGACAAAAATGCTAATGTCGGCCCGCAGTTGTACTATATCTCTCCACACCAGCGCCCGCCGGCACAGATTCAGAATCAGACGCGCGCTCCTTGCTGGCACCCTACGTTGACGCGCTACTTTCCACGACCCCATCTCCACCCACCCGTTCGTTCGAGCTCTTCTACATTCAACGCTCGTCTCTCGTCGCACCTTTAGATGCATCCGCCTCATCAACATCGACAACGACCCAAACTCTCTTCACCACACCCCCACTTCCTCTCCGCGGTCTTGCGACAGCACCAGACGCAGCCGCAACAAACGCCGAAAGTCTATTCTTCGACATTGCGCGCTCACTCAAGACCATACGTCCTGATCATGCTGTCTTTACGCCGGCTGAGGACGGAGAGGATGATAAGGAAGAGGGTCAGAAAGCCGTGGAGAGCGATGTGCAGGCATCTGTGGGAGAGGCGGAGGGTGGGGCTGGGAAAGATCAGTTTTCAGAGCTCGAGCTGAGGTTCTGGCCACCTGTGCCCACGCAGGATGAGGACGATGACGAGTTCTAGGCGCCGTTTACGCTCAGTTTGACGAGAGGTCATGTATGGATTGTAGTGTACATCGAGTTACGAATACAGGAGATGGGATCTAAGCCTTGATTGTGCCTTCTGCACCTGTACGAAGTTGTGTCAGCAGATCTTTGAGCCGTTGTCGAAGTGTAGTCGTGATCTTGTCCTCGTCGGATGCGGGGGTTGGCTGCAGGTTACTCAGTGAATGCCGCTTCGGGCGCACAGCGGCGGGGTCGTACAAGTTGGTCGAGGAGGTACTAGAAGCAAGACTATATCAGATGTGTGAAGCTCAAGATAGAGAGTCAAACATACCTCGGCCTCATCTATAGTCTACTCGTCTGATCATCAGCACTCGCTCAGATCTCGATTAGATATACGTACGCACGAGAATGATCGGGCCTCTATTACGCATGTTCCGTCAGATTTGCTCCGCGTCCGTCAAGCCAATTCACATCACCTATTCATGGTATGCTGACACGAGGCAAAATGGGTATATGGACGTGGACGTTCGGGGCAGGTCAAGCTTCGAAGCCCTTAGGGCCCGGGTCGGAGATCGGCCCGGGGCCGGTACCCGCGCGTTCATATTCCCGAGGCGCGTCGTGTCGACAACACTCAGGAGGAGCCACACCACGCACTCCTCTACATTACACGACCATCCATACCTACACAAGACTCTTTCCCCTCCACACATACCGCTACGCTACATGCTTCCGTCCTCTACATGACCGGGGCGGTACTCTTCCGCTGCCTGGCAAAGAATCATTACCTACAGCGTTTCTAATTCTCAATCTATTGTATTGTCCCCGTGAACATACGCAGTAGCAGAACGTTTCCTGCTATTCTGAAGTTGCGCAGTCGCTGCTATCGTCGTATACGATACAGATAAGTTAGATTATCAGGCGATGTACGCGTTGCCGCGCGTCTCCGTCGGAACAACCACATCTGCATGCTTCCGCAGTCACAGCTGCCGGCCGGACCTCCTCGATAGGCTACGATAGCGCAATCGCGCAGCGCTGCCGCGGTGCCGTCGGGGGGTACGCGTAAGCCCTGTATAGCCTCCCGAAGAGGTATAAGAAGGGCCCTACAGGGCGCACGGAAAGACCCAACCCCTTCGTGAGTTGCAAACAGCGAGCATACCTCTCCTACACCCTCTTCGTGAGCCTGCCGAAAGCACACCCGAAAGCACAACATCACACACACTCTAAGCGAACCATCTAAGTCTATCATGTTCAGTTTCCCGCACAACCATCGTGAGGAGATGAGTGGCGAGTTCCCCCACATTGGCCACGGCCATTCTGAGTTCTCCGAGAGCCCGCGGGGCGGTCGTGGCGGCCACTTCCGCGGCCATGGCGGTCGTCACCATTACGGTGGCCCGCCTGGTTTCGGGCGCGAGCACCATGCTGAGTTCTTCGCCGGCCGTGGCCGCGGTGGTCGCGGTCGCGGCGGCTTCCGCCATGGCGGGCGTGGACGCCACAGCGCCAGTGAGTCGGATGGGGATGAGTACGCTGAGCTCGTTGAACGGTTCCGTGAGATGGGACATGGTCGCCGTGAGCACAGCCGCCGCCGCTTCGGCCGTCGTGAGCGCGAAGTGCCTGAGGGCGATGAGACGCCAAAGGGCTACGCCGTCGAGAGCGACTCTGAGGACTTCGTCGACATCGACGGTGAACGTAAGGACAAGGACAACGACGCCACTCCCCAGGCTCCTGGTGAGCGCGGCTGGGGACGTCGCGGTCATCACTGGCATGCCCACGGCTTTGGTGGCCCCGGCGAGTTCGACTTCGCCCCGCGTCACGGCCCGCACGCCTTCATGATGGGCCCGCCCCCGCACGGCCCTCATTCCTTCCACCACCACCAAGGCCGCCACGGACAATTCAAGAAGCCCTTCCCGCGCGTGGACATCTTCGAGTCAGAGAAGCAGTACGTGCTTGAGATCGAGGTTCCCGGTGTGCGCAAGGACGTCATCGCCGCGCTCGTCAGTGAGGATGGGCGTAGCATCACCGTCGAGGGCACCTTCCCCGCCCGTGCTGAGGTTACGCTTGAGCGCGTGTATGCCGAGCGTCGCGTCGCGCCTGGCGAGAAGTTCGCGCGCACGATCCCGCTTCCGGGCCTCGTCGACAAGGAGAACGTGAGCGCGAAGCTCGCTGACGGTGTGCTCGTTGTTGCGCTCGACAAGGTCCAGGTTGAGGAGCCCAAGGGCACGATCATGGTCATTGAGTAGACCAGGAAGATCGAGCTCTGCGCGTTGTATTGATGCCTATCTTCTGTTGTATTGGCCTATGTAAGACTGCTTGAAACGGACTGTAACTCTGTCAGTAGTATCTGACTTCTGTGCTTCATCTCATTAAATTTATAATATAATCATCGCTTATACGATGGCAAATAATCCTGTGTGATGTCCGAAGAAAGTATCCAATCAAGATTAAGACGATCATCTCTAGTAGTGCAAGGCTAGCTATACGCCAGCTACATACTGCCCAGACCTATTATTCTTCGAGACAAGGCGGCAGAAGCGTCAAAGCTGCGTGAACGCGACCAGCCGTGTGCCTGATGCACGGGTGCATCATCGAGGCGAGTGTCAATATAGAGCCCTCTATTGGACTGAGACCAGGGTGAAAGATTCAGTTATGACAACTATCGAATGACCTGGAGAAGAAAGAGACTCACGGCCGTCGCTCAATTGCTTATCTCTGCTAAGAGATCCCACAGTTCGTCCACATGTTCCCCTGGAACATCGGCCCGACTCCGCTTGTAACAGTTCTTGTTACGCACGCCGAGTAGCCCAACAACAGCATCTATACGGGGCAAGCAGCCAAGAGGACGTCCTGCCTCCTTTCTCGCCCTCAACCCTTTGCGAAGTACACTCACAGAGGGATTGACATCCCACTGGCTTCGGTTGTACTGTCCCAGTTCGCGAATTCGCAGGTGTTGTAGATGCGGCGTCATTGATGGGTCCAGGACCATTGCGATGGTTGCTGCGAGCTTTCCGGGAGTGGTCAGGTTGAGCCACGTGAAGTCCGTTAAGGCCGGTACACACACAATGCATCACCTCCGACATGTGGTTGCTCCAGACCGCATTCGCGGCGCCATCCATGGTAGCAACGGCCAGAGAGGTCACACTGCTGGGTTGACCGAGGAGAAGGAAGTTGTCATTCTTCAGCAACTTCAGGGACCCGACACAGTCCAGTCGAACCACTAGGTTCTCGAGCGTGTCAACGGATTCTGGGCGAGATTCGTGATGGTCCATCTGGCGATATAATGCTAATGTGACGAAAAGGTCGCCCGCCCAGTATGAAGAGACATCCTTGCTCAGGTCGTCGGTCGACTCCGGGTCGTCCTCTGTGCTGCTGATGCGCAATATGGCCGAGTACTGACGCCGTGATGTTGGCTTCAAACGCTCGCGCAAGGCATCCAGCATCCTCTCAAGATCGTAATTGAACTCCCGTGTGAGCTCGGAGTCTTTCCATGTCACAATTGTACTCGATGGGAAGAGTACGCGTTCGAGAAAGAGGGCGCATGGAGTTGGCGAACAGGTCAACTGAAGGTATTCAAGGTGCGAGAGTTCGATCGGTTCGAAATCCAAAGGGCCCTTGGCATCCAAAAGGCAGTGATGCAATGTAAGACGCTTGAGTTGTGGCGTATGATGAAGATAGGCGATGAAATCCTGCGATGTCTGGTCGAGGGCCATATCATCGAGTTCGATGTGAAGAGATTGTAGATCGGGGAACGGGCCGGGAGGTAGGGCTTGGACAAGACGAAGGTCGCGGAGAGAGGACAAGTTCAGAGCTCGACCCGCTGTCGAAGTGTGATAGGGAAATGCCTGCGTGTACTTGTTGGCTAACTTCGCGAATGGAGACATATAGGCTGTCAACGAAACAAGATTCGGAACATCTACAGATGTTTTCAAGTAGCTCCAGAATTCAACCACGTCATATCTTTTCCGCCTGATGTTCCCTACTGTAATGCTGTGGGCCCTGAAGAAGAGCGGAGGGAAAAGGTCGTCCATGATGCTGCGGGGTGCACGTACACCAGACGGAAGTTGCAAGCTCAACAACGCCGGCTTTGAACGCTCGGACAATGTCGTCACCAACGAGGTCGCACGGCGTTGAGTCTCGGCGTCATCGCCCGTCTCTATCGCACTCATGGGCGCAAGGACGTGTTGGGCCCATAGAGAACATGCAGAACATGCGATGTCTCTGAAACGCCGACATAGCCGCATGAATCGATAAAGTGCCCGAGGCGACTCTCCTTCCAGCTCATATAAGAGGTCAAGTATGTCGCATAGGATCTCAGTAGGCAAGCAATCGATAGCAGTTGGGGATGAGGTCTTCGTCTGATCTCCTCCGTCCGTCTTCCTAGAAGAGTGGGTGGATCGATGAGCTCACGGTCAACACGACACTTCTTGCAGGTCCACGCACAGATGGAGAACTTACTTCATGATTTCTTGAGCCTTCCTCCGGGCTGGCATCATAGTAGGTATGAGGATAAGTTCTGATTAGCGGCAAGAGCAACAGGGTAACGTCAACAAGATGGTCGTCTAGAGAGAGGAAGGTGTGGCGCCATAGGTTGCGCGACGACGGCCGGCCGGTTTGAGCCGTTCGTGGGAGAGTCGGGCCGCACAGCCATATATCATCTGTGCCACGGGCCATGTCGGCATACTGTACTGCTGAGTAGCAGGTACACGGATAGCATTACCCGGTACGCGGTGGAAGCAGGTGCCGAAGGAAAGGTCGTCAGCTTGAAGTATATGCGTCATGGCGTGCGCTCGTCATGGGCTGGAACCAGCATCAGCCTACAATTTCTATACATGTACACCGCCTATCTCTACGTTTCTATGAATTCGTTATACGACACAGTTACACTAAACAGGATTCGATTCTCCATCTACTTGCTAGCATCCTCCATCTCCTTCCTCCACCGCTTCTGAATCTCAATGCTCTCAAGGAAGATCTTATACTTCGCCTCAAGCAACTTCGTCTCCTTCTCGCTCGCAGCAGGATACACGACCGTAGCCGGCGGCGTCATATCCTCCATGACCGCCCACAGCGCCTTATTGTGCCCTTCCTCGCCGAGGTTGTCCTGGTACTCCGCGGCGAACCGGCCGAGCATCGCGCTGCCGAGCAGCACGGCGGTGCCGAAGTTGGCGGGGATGACGATGGGCATGTGGATCGCGTCTGCGAACCACTGCATGAGCGCGACGTTCTGGGCCTGCGAGCCGGACATGTAGATGCTGTTGATGGTGTGGCCGGCGTTGTTGAGCGAGTCGACGATGTGGCGCGTTTGGAGGGCGATGGCTTCGAGCGTTACGGCGTATTTGCGCGCGAGGTCGTGTAGAGTGTCGTCCTGTAGTATACAGTCAGCTTGGAAAAGAGTAATATGAGGGAGATGAGGGCTTACGAGCTGGATGCCGACGAGCGAGCCGCGCATGCGCGAGTCGGCGATCGGTGAGCGGTTACCGTGCAAGTCGGGGTAGAAGTGCAGATCCTTGAGCATTTGCGTCCAGGAGTCTGCGCCTTCCTTTGTGCGAATCTCTTCGAGAGTGTCGCGAAGGACTGAATAGAAGGAAGAGTCAGTGCCGTGTAGATACAGAGTAGTAGACGGACAAGATGTACCTTGGTGGATGTTCGTCTTGCGCTTGGCGGCGAGCTCCTTAAGTTCGGGATACGCTTTGTGCGTGGTGATCATGAAGTCGATCAGCTGTCAAGACGTCAGACTTGCCATTTCAACAAGATAGTGGATACGTTACCTGTCCGGTCGAAGACTGGCCGCCCTCGTTCATCCACCAACCGGGGAAGACAGGGTCCTGAGTGTCCATCAGCACAAAGATCGCGTGCAGCATGATGATAAGACCAACCTTGTACGGACCCCAAACACCCTTAACGAACACAGCGTCCTTACTCTGCACAACATGACAAGTGGAAGTGCCAGCAATAGCCGCAAGCCGATGGCCAGCCTCCTCAAACGCAACCTTCGTACTCAAACTCCCGTCCCTCTCCTTATGCCTCGCGGCGATCGTGCCCATCCACCCCGCATACGCATCAATAAGTCCGCTACCAACGGGCGTACCAGCAACGAGCCCAAGCTCCTTCGCAGCCTTCTCGCTCAAACCCTTACCGATAGGTACACCGGCGGTGAGCTTCTCGCCCTCGGCGTGCGCGCCCATCTGTTTGAACCCGGCCTGCGGAATCTCGGGGAGACCGATGGCGTTGAAAAAGTCGGCCTGCCAGCCTTTGTCGGGCACGTAGGACTCTTTGCAGGTGATGCTGCATGCCGAGCGCGTGCTCTGCCCGGTCGCGCGGTACGTCAAAAAGTCGGGCAGATCGAAGAACTGGCACTTGGCAAAGTCGGCGGCGGAGGTGTGTTTCTTGAGCCAGAGGATCTTCGGGACCTCCATCTCGAGCTGCGGAACAGCGCATCAGCGAACGGGCGCGGGGAAGTGCGGGGTATGCCGGATGCGGATGCGGATGCCGGCGGGAACGGAGGAAGGGCGCTTACGCTCATGGTGCCGCCGACATAGTCGAGCACGATACTCTTCTGCGAGTTGATGAATTGAGCCTCTTCCTCGGCGCGATGATCCGCCCAGAGCATGATGTTGCGCTCGCCGCGCTTGCCCACGCCATCGCCTTTCGTGACGCTGACGGGCTCGCCGTCAAGATCGGTGATGGTGGTGCTGCAGGTGGCGTCGAAGCCGAGTCCCTTGACGGCCTCGGGCGCGATCTTGGACTCGGTCATCACATTGCGCACGCAGGTGGTGATCGCGTTCCAGATGTCGGTCGTGCTCTGCTCGAAGATGCGGTGATCTTGCGGATCGCGGAAGGTCGTGATATCTTTCGTAGACGAGGCTACGAGTGTACCGTCGTGCTTGACGAGACCCGCGCGCGCGGACCCGGTGCCGACGTCGATGCCAATGTAGTACTTGTCGGACATCGTGGTGGTTGTGGGGAGAGCCGGACTTTCGACGAACGCGGAGAAGAGATTGGGGCGGACTCCGCCTCAGGCGAGTGACATAAGATCACTGTGGAAAGTTCACGGCGGAGTCGCGCTCAAACGGGAACGTGAACGTCTCAAGCTGCGTGTTCGCCGTGCGGCTCGACGAGCGTCTACTTTTGTACGTTATCATCACACCACATTGCGGCTTCTCAAAGTCACTCGTTTTTCTGGGGGCATGGATGCATGGTAGAGCAGAGTCGGTGCATACAACAATTTTTGTGCAACAGGAACGGGTAGGAAAGTATGCATAACAAAAATCAAGAGCGCCTCTACGCGTCCTTGACCTTGACCGAACCGCGGAGAAGACCAGTCTGAAGAAATGCGTAAGAAATACGGTAGCGATAGATATGATGGGAGATGTACATACCCGGCGGGCGGCAATGAGACCGACTTTCTGACCGGGGACGGCAGAGCGGGCGATGGTGGAGGCCTTACCGATGTGCTGGTGGTTACCACCACCGTGGGGATGGTCAACCGGGTTCATAGCAACACCACGAGTGCGGGGCCAGCTGTAGCGCTTGGCCTTGAATTTGTGGAACGCACGGCCGGCCTTGAGCAGGGGCTTGTCGATACGGCCACCGCCGGCGACGATGCCGATGGAGGCACGTGCCGAGCCGGAGATCGTCTTCTTCGCGCCGGACGGCAGACGGACGCGGGTCTTGTTCTCGTCGGGCGAGTGGCCGATGACGGTGGCGTAGTTGCCCGACGTGCGGGCGAGCGCGCCGCGGTCGCCGACCTTCTCCTCGACGTTGCAGATGATCGTTCCCTCGGGGCACTGCGACACCGGCAGCACGTTCCCGATCGAGAGAGCCGCCTTCTTGCCGGCGTAGACAAAGGCGCCGGTGTGGAGGCCCTCCGTCGCGATGAACGTCTCCTTGCGGAGCTTGTACCGGTACGGGTCGCGGAAGACCACGCGCGCGAGGGGCGCACCGCGGCCGGCGTCGTGGATAATCTCCTTGACAATCCCGCGCACGTAGCCGTTGCGCTCGGCAAAGTCGAGCGGCCGGAACTGGGCCGGGTTCTTGTTGTGGTGCGTGTGCGCCTTGAACTGTACATATATTTCAGCATCTATAATCTACTGATACAACACTGTGAAACGTACGATGGCGTGCGAGCGCCTCTGTGCGCGAATGACCCGACCCATGGCTTGAGATGTGGTGGTGGTGTCTGTTCAAGAACGAAAAGGCAAAAAGTCAGCGAGACCGCATCCAGAGTCATCCGCACACAACGCCGCCCATCCAGCCCCTTCTGCCCATCTTTTCCATTCCAACTTCACAGAGACGGCAGCAGGACAGCATTCGGGCAGCGTCGGGTCATAAATGAGGGGATACGCACTGTGGCGGGGTGGGTGCTCGCTGTTGCGGGCGGCGACTAGCTCAGCGAGTGCCTCAGCCGCGCGCGCACGTGGCTTGGCTGATCGGCGTCAATGTCTTATTTTTTTACCTCGATCACCCAGTCACTTCCTTCGAACCAATACGTATGCGATGTCTAGATAAAACGAGCAAGCAGTAGCAATGCAGCAATCGAGACAAACTACCCTAGACACAAGGAAGACAGATAAAAAGATACTAAACAGCAGTAGCAACAACCTCCGATGCCCTAGCCTCCAGATCATCTATGTCGACCAACTGCACGTATGGTTGATGAACGGGCCGAACCCCCTCAGAAGCGCTGTCGCCATCTCGATGTGCGGCAGAAGTAAGCTCAGAAGTATGCGGCTGTGGCTCGATGATCTACCATCTGGTGCGCGCCAAAATGTGGATGAGAGTACTGCGGCGTCATCGGCGCTCTGAATGACCGAGTGTGAGCGCTATAGGCAGGAAGGGCGTGATGGTGGATTGCAAGGATGGCGAGCGCGAGCCACACCTGAGGGTAGTACAGTAGGAATACAAATACAGCACAGAGAGATGTGAGCTACAAGTACAGGTGGTACAAGGCGAGTGATACAACAGGGTGAGCAGAAGGCAAGAGGAAGAGAGCGTGTCCATCGGGTCCGAAGCGGAAGGAAAGAATTAACGAGACGCGGAGGGAGAGAGTGGTGCTGACTGGTGCAATGCTACAGTGAGTGGTCGAGATTCGTGTACGTGAGTGTCGTATATTGATACGTAGAGAAGGCGTGCCGGCAGAAAGCGCTAAGCAAAGGGAGACGGTAGATAGACGAAAGTGAAGAGAGGACGAGAAATATAGGCGGTGGATGAGGGAAAGCAGTGGGTAGATGACCATCCGCTCGTTGGGACGCACAAGCAGTTGGCCTCAAGCGTCGTTTGTAGGTGCGTGTAGGTGCTGGTGCCGGTTTGACGCGTCCAGGATCTATCGCCTTCTCAGATCGGGATGATTTGCCGCGTCGTGAGCGTCGCGGCGGTGTCCGCGTCAGTTACTGCTTTGGCCCGACGAGCTGTCGTAGCGACCACGGCCAATGCCAGACGCCGTGGGCGAGTCCTCGCCTTCGTCTTGATCGTCTTCGGACGTTACCTGCACGTCCGCCGCATTCGGGTGCTGGTGCGTGCGCGCGTGCCGGCACATATTTGAATGTACGCTGAACACGCGCTCGCACCCCCCGAATGTGCATTTGTAGGCTGACAACTTGAGTCATCTGGGCTTACACAAGAGATGTGGTAGTACTCACGGCGTTCTCCGGTGTGGTTATGAATGTGTATCTGCGTTCGCAAGCTTGCGCATCAGGGATTGACTCTCATAGAGTATGTATAAGACGCGCCTTGAGGCTGCTGGGGCGGGTGAACCCTTTGCCACAATACTCACACTTGTAGAGAGACGAATGAACCGTGATTGGGTCGTAACTGGATGGTCCAGCATTCATGTTGAGCGTTGTGCCATCCGGGTGCAGGGTGTCTGGGAGCAGTTCGTCTGAATGGGCCCCGAAAGCATCAAGGAACTGGGATAAGTCCTTACCCTTCGCTTCTGAGAAGAGATTCTGTGGAACCCTTCTCAGTATTTCTACTGCAATTCTTCGAAACAGTGTCATATCCTCCTCTGCGGGTGGGTCATCGGCAGCATCTAGGATAGATTTTGTTGCAACGTCGAGCCCTTCTCCATCCCAAGATCTTCCCGATGGTGACAACATTCTGAATATACAGGCGCTGTTGTGAGAACCTGTTCAATTGAGAAGATATCAGAACACACGGATCGCTTTCAACTCCCACGAAAGTTGTACTGGAGCGGTACAGCCTTTGACAGCCTTGGCTTGTGGATTATTCAGCAACAAGGGATGACACATCTCGGCATATCCAACGTACCAATCGATTAAAATAGCGTCGTCGATCAGGCGTTCAGATTCGCACTCGCAATACGGACATTTCCGTGATTGCTGGCGGACGACAATACTCATCTCGAGGATCATGCCTGCCCGCACACTTTGCATCCAACTCGTCGGGCTGATAGCTGTTGACCCGTGCGCAGTATCCATAATTATATATGCCCGAGATTCCACGTAGCGTGCGCCCGGCTGGTGCATGAATCGCTTGAGGAGTAAGGCATGAACATCCTGTTTAATCAGGGACGTCAGACACACTCGGTAAAAGGTAGGTAGCGACCGCTGCACGGACATTCCAAGACGTATACATACCCAAAGGTATCTCAGCTGGGTGACCAAGAATGTCAATAAGGATGAAGGTATGGAGGCGCGAATGTCCAAGAGGGCGAGGAAGGTAGAGCCCATAAAGAAAGGCCGCAGCATAGGCCATCGCTAGAGGTACGAATGCAGATGCAAACGTCGCGGGATTCGTCGCAGCTACAGCAGTGGAGGTATCCAGGGTACCAAACGTGGCGAAGGCGGTGATAGAGTACAGTAGTGCGAGGCCCTGCTTGAGTGCGGCGCGGACGTTTGAAGGCAGATAGTCAAATTCGGATAGAACGCGGCTGGTCAGATTGCCAGGAGTCGATATGGCATGGCGGTAGGTGGTCGCAATGCAAAGAGACCATATCGCAAATAAACCTGTAGCGCCGAATCAGGGCACCGTCGACAAAGATGAGAGCTCAGCAATACCTATCTCATCTGTCTGAGATTCCAGTCGAGTAGCGGATGTCGACGCTATGCGTCCAGAATCCGTGGCTAATGTGATATTAGTTATGAGCAGCGAAGTCTTGATACACGCTCTTCCTCACTGCGTCGTGGGCTGTCTTGTTTCGATGCCGCTCCAACGACTGAGTACATCATGGACACGGTATCAACAGCGGCTGATATCGGTATCAGTATATCGATACCGACTTCACGGGACAGAGAATGTTGGATGAAGCTTACTTCGCACGTTCGTTGAAATCTCTGCAATACCTTGAGACACATCATCCATCCGGTCATTGAGTCCGGCGACAGAGATCTCCAAACGGTGAAGAGCTGCACACTCAAAGCTTAATAGTGCAGCGATGGACGCAAAGAGAAAGACGCACCATCACGCAGAGTCCCCGATAACAAGCACACCTCCTTGTATATGGTCACAAGTATCAGACGGGTATCCTGGACCTCGAAAGCTTCCAATCGTCGAGCTGCATCCATGACCTCATCGCCTCTCCCGATAAGCGCCGAGAAGAAATGATCTATGAGCGATGGTGAGGTGTGCATAGCTTCACGACGAAAGAACAAGGACGTACTAGTCCGCGATTTGCTCATCATCTGGGTGACAAGGGCAAGTGTATGAATCATCTCTACGAGAATGTCGAGGATGATACGATGAGATTCAGATCCGACGGGTACGGCAACGAAGATGTAGAGCCGCCGCGTGTAGTTCTCATACTTCCTCAGAAGCTGTACCACGGCGTCAAAGCGAGCGCTGACGCCTTGAGTCGCCTGCATAGAAGTATGAGATAGAGCCTTCGACTGAAGGGGGTGATGTGACGTACGCGGAACAGTACGATGATAGCCACAAAAGGGGCCTTCCCTACATGAGTGGGCTGGAAGCAAACTTCAGATCGCCACATTGAACGGGCGAAAGACGAACGAACCAAGGCCGCGGCAAGTTCGCCCCCTGCCTCTAAGACACCCATACTCAGGAATGCGCGAACAATGGGCTTAAGCGCTCCCCGAATCCTGCTCTGGACATCATCCGCGGATGGATGGCGGTAGACGCCGAACTCTTCCGCAGTTCGAGCAAGGACATGGACAATATCACCACTGTCAGAATAGTCCTTCAAGCGACGGTATAGATCGAGATTCTCGTCTTCAAGATCAATCCCAGTAACCTCCTTGTATCGGTGGAATGCCTGACGCCACAGTTCTGCGATGGCGTGTGCACCTAAGTGGCATCATAAATCTTACTAGACCTGCATGGTATGGTAGTGCGCTGCTGACCTGTCAACTTGTCCAGAGTTGGCGAGTCGTTGGTCGAGGTAAGGAAAGAATCCACTGCGACCGTGGCTTCATGTCGAGAACTGCGTTCGTCTTGTGAAGGCACCTTCGAACCCGTCTTGCTAGGAGTGGCTGGGCTGGACTCCGGCACCTCGATCGACGCTGGATCACTAGTTGTCTTGGACGACTTTGGGATGAGCTTCCTCCAAGAGATGACAGCGCGGGGCATGGTAGCATTAATCGTGGATGGGGGGAGGAGCTTGTTAGCGAAGAGGCGCTGGAGCGCGGAGGACTCGCGGGTCTCGAGGCGATGAGAGTCGTACTAGTATACCCACGCGGACTCAGTATAGAGATGAGCCCGTCTAAGAGAAAGATCAAGATATGTGTCCCCTGAAGCGGTGCATGTTCATGTACAGCTACTACCTCATAACTCTGCGGCGTGATGGCCATAACAAGCGAAAGAGTACATGATGACATCCTCTGAATCGTCCGAAAGTCTAGCGGAGGCTCAAACGTTCATGGAGGTTCAAGACAAAGCGCGTCTTGTTTGGCGTGACGCACTGGCGCGTCTCATCGGAGCTTCGGACTCCTTCGGAATGGCCCCATCAAGCCAACACAAGAGCCGACAACGACGTTCAGCAGCTTCAATCAGGCTTCAATTGAGATTGAGATAAAAACGAGCAAGCAGTAGCAATATAGCAATCGAAACAATCTACACTAAGTACAAAGCAGACAGATCGCAAAGAGATACTAAACAGCAGCAGCAACTACCCCAGCCACAGATCACGAAACTCACGACCAGCTTTGCGTATTGAAAAACTCTGAGAAATCGCCCAGACCGGGGTCCATGCCGCCCAGACCAGGCGAGCTGCTGGGGTCCATACCCGGAAACCCGCCACCGGCCGCGCTAGCAGTGCGCGACGGCGGACGCTGCTGGTGTTGCTGCGGCCCGCCCATTTGGTGTACGGGTGAGGGCGCGTATGGGTAGCCGCCGGCTGAACCACCGTTTCCGCCTCCTGCGCTTCCGCCCGCAGAGCCAGGCCAACCTCCTGCGCCTGGAGATGGTGCAGATGGAGGGAACTGCTGCTGCGGTCGTCCATGAGCGCTTCCGGGCGGTGTCCCGCCGTAAGGCCCGGCACTACCGCTACTCTGCGGTGCCCAGCCAGAGCCCTGACCGCCGCCAGCCATCATCTGCTGGGGGTTGATGAACCCGCCTCCGCCGCTGTTCGAGGGCGCAGGTGACGGCGCATTAGCCTGAGCAGCCTGCATCGCCATCATCCGCTGGAAGTCGTTCCCTCCCGCCCCGCCAGGTCCGCCGCGCGGTGTCATAGGCGACGGCGCGTTCTCAGACGGCGAGTGCGTGCTGCGCTGCATACCAGGGAACTCGTTGCCCGGAGAGCCTGCGTGCATAGGACTGCTCATCGCGCCGCCCTGCTGTTGCTGCTGGGCCTGCTGCTGCATCATCCGCTGTTGCTGCAGTATCGTAGGGTTCACGCCGCCCTGACCGCCCTGCCCTCCGAATACAGCAGGGTTTATGCCACCCTGCATACCGCCCGGTCCACCACCGGCGCCACCAAACGCGGCGGGATTGATACCGCCTGGCATACCGCCAGGCCCACCGCCCGCCGCCTCGCGCATCCGCTGCTGCTGCAGCATGATCATCTGGCGTTGTTGTTGTGGCATTTGCATGAGCTGAGCTTGGGTGAAACCGCCGGGAGGTGCGGCGATGCCGCCAGATCCACCCTGCGATGGTACGCCCATCGGTCCACCGGGAATGCCACCTGAGCCCATGCGATTGAGCGGCATCCCGCCTTGGCCGCCTTGCATGGGCATGCCGCCGCCGCCGCCACCACCACCGCCCTGCTGCTGTAGTTGCTGTTGCTGATGTTGCCGCTCGCGATCGATGGCGCCCTATTTGTACACTCGTCAGAACGATCCAGTGACCAGATAGAGAATAAGAAGACGTACCGTGTATCGCAAAAGCGTCTGGACCTGCTGCTGAAGCGGCAAACTCGGGAAGGTCGGCATGTTCTTGATGATCTGCTGGATGACCGGCACACCCGCCGGATTTTGCAACGCCTGCAGCGCGCGTATACCGCTCTGTCCGAACTGAGACACGATCGCCTGGACTTGCGGATTGTTGGAGTTGATCTGGCCGGGGCCCATGTTCGGTCCTGGGCCTGGTACTGGCGGAGGCTGCATTTGATTCGGCGACGATTGCGTGGGACGTTGTGGGGTGGCTTGTTGATTGCGCATCTGGAGCTGCGCCGCGCGACGTTGCATTTCCGCTTGTGTCGAGTTCATAGGCGGGAAACCCTGCGACGGGATCGACGGACTACTCGCGGCCATTTGTGGTGTACTTGGAGCGATGTTGCCGACGCCTGGAGGGAAGCCGCGGCCCATCGATGCAGGCGTAGACGGCGGGAGCATGGGTGTCTTGTGCTCGCCCGTGTCGCGTCGTTTGTTCATCGGCTCTGGCGTGGCATGGTCGGGACGCTCGCGTTTCAAAGACCCGGGCATCATGCCGGGGCCTTGGGTAGGATGTTGCTGGTTGTTTTCTCGCAAGCGGGCCATATCTTTCGCAAAGACGTTGCCCAACTCCTTGTACAATTGCAGGATGCGATCCATCATGGGCAGGAAATCGACGGGTTGTGGCGTTGTGAGCAGTGGTAGACTGTTCAAGCCGACGAGCTGTGTAGCGTATGAGTGCAAGTTCTGGATGATAATATCAAGAGAAGTCACATGTTGCGGCCTATCTGCTGCATTAGCCAGCCATGCCAGATTCATCGACAACCGGCCGCTGAACCTAAGATGCTGTATTAGCCGCCGCATCAATGACTGCATGAACATCAACTCGCTCTGAAAAGCGCCGGTCGTCCCTGGGTATCGATTTATTGTGGAATTCTTCCAAGGCTCTGTGTTTCTATAAGTCTAGTCCTGACTCATGACGAGCGCAAGCTTACTTGAATAACTCCCCGTTGAGCTGCATCAAAACATCGACCTTGCGGTTGGGTTTCGTCGCATGGCCGAGGCCGAGAGGGTCAGAGGGTAATGTAGGCGCGCCCTGGCGTCCCTGATGCGAATACGAGCCACGCAAGGGCGAGGAGGAGGAAGACGCCTCGGCATTAGGCGCGGCATGCTTTTTTGAGATGCCGTTCGCGCGGGGTGGGGTATTAGAAGCGCCCGGCACCTTGCCCTCGTCCTTCTTCGAGTCTCCACTTTCCTCCTTTGGCTCGTTCCCGTCGTCCTCGTCGTCTTCCTCCGGGGCCGGAGAGAGTTCGCTCAACGGCGAGGGCGCACCACCGTCATCAACGAGGCCGGCATTGCTCGCGTCCTCGTTGGAGTTTTCTGGCGATTTCGTCGTTTCTGGTCTCTGATTTGGCGAGCTGCTGTCTGGGGCGGGCGTGAGAGAAGAATGCCGTTGCGGGGTGGATGCGTCGGGCTTGGTAGAGTGACGGGCCATAGCGGGAGAGGGAGATGTCAGGGGCGTGGATTCATCGCCCATTGGCCAAGGAAAGTTGTTGACGGACAGCGCAGGGATGACGCCAGGAGTGCGATCGAGACCAATCATATGCGCCCAGGTTCAGCACAAAGCGCGACCCAGCCCGAGAAGTCGGAGAAGTCGTGTCCAAGTCGCCCGTTGCCAGCAAGCGTTGCCGGCCAAATCAAGTCTGCGTGCGGGAGTTGCCGAGATGGTCTGATTGAATAGCCCAGATGCGATATTATGCCCCGCGCGAAGAAAGAGACGACGAGCTGAGCGACAAGTCGAGGTGAGCGTCGGGAACGGGGTCACCGTCCGGCAGACTCGTCGCGCTCCCGTTGAATGGCACGTGGCCCGTCAGCGTGAGAAGTAACTGCCTCGTTCGGATACCGAGCGCCCTCAAGGAGCAGGGACGAGACGCGCACAAGGACGGCCATGGGCGTAAAAGACAAGTCGCATTAGAGAGCGCGGAGAGTCGGTTCGGTAAAAGCGGCTATGTGCTGGCGACGTCGGAGAGTCGTGCTTGAGATTCATTACAGCAGCATGATCGATTCTGCCTCGCCCACACGCTCCCGACTGGCACCGCCGTCTCTCCTCCCCCGTTTGGCTGAACTGCTTTGACTAAATGTAGGATCGAGGTTGCTTGTATCCCCACGCCGCAGCGCTTCGCCCGCAGGGGCAGCGAATCGGAACGAGAGAATGGTAGCCCCTCCGGGCTTCCCTGACTCCGTGCTTTGCCTTTCGCCATCGCCCCCTACTTATACTCCCGATCCTCCCGGACTACACGTGCTATTTCCTCTTTATCTATAGTTGGAGCCACAGCTCCAGGGTCTGCATCTGTCTGGCAGGAACGCCGCTCGGACAACGCTCGGCTGTTCCTCCTCAGGCCTCAAGTTGGCATCCTGGGAACAGATCATTGGACCCGCACGATGATCTCGTTGCCTGAGCGCTGAACTTGAACCCGTCACTCATCTCCTCAGGACGGGAACCTGTCTTACCTGAACCATCCGGGGCATCTTGGTCGCCTATAGACTTCGTTCTGAGCACGCGAATCCGAAACCGTATACAAAAGGTCTCTGTGATTGCCCGATCTCTAGTTGGCTTCCTTCTCAGGATTCGCCCTCCAAACTCTGAACGGTAACACGTCACTACGATCTGCATCGTACAGCAAACCCATATATCACGATCCATTAGTGGCCTAGTCTGACGTCCGCCGAGACCACGCTACAGGCCTTCTGGTGTCTACTTGCATAGCCGGACTCACGCTTCCCGTGTTCCCGTCTTCACATCACTGCATCATCTCGTGCACTCGTCTGTTCATAATCCATCTCCATCCACCATGGCCTTCTCCAATCTCTCAGATAACGAGAAGGACGCGTTCTTCTCCCTCCTCGATGAGTCGGTACCTTTTGCTTGTTGTACATGTGTCCCGAGAGGCTGACGCCCTGCTGCGCAGATATTTCACTTCCCGTCCCGGACTCATCGCCGGAAACGGCTCATCCGAGTCTCCCTCTTCAGCAGGAGACCAACAACAATCTGCAGGATCCTTCGCGCGCAATGCTCTAGCTTCAAACCCGCAAGCCGCGACGAAGCTCATGTCCGTAGGACTAGGGGCGATGGCATCACAAAAGCCGACTTCGAATAGCGTATGTTTCAGTCACATTCACTTCAGTGGTGCTGTAGTGATTGAGCAACTGCGTAGTCGCGCGCAACATCCATGGCCGCCGGATTCGCACATCGTGCAGTTGAAAGCAACCCACAAGCCGCAGGCAAACTGCTCTCCGCCGGCTTAAGAAACACGGGCTCACCGAAACCCACAAGCCCTTCACCCTCCCAACAGGTACGCGCCCAGCCGCACCGCGCGTCATCTGATGCTGACCTTATATCGCCCGTCAAGCACGATACCGGAGATGCACAGGACGAAGCGCCCGTCAGCGTCCGCGATCGCATTCAAGCCGCCTCAGCGCAGTTCAGCAAGCCCTCCGCACCACCACCGCGTCCCGGTCCCAAACCCGCGCCCAAAGCACCCAGCGGGCTGAACACGACGAAGGCATGTGTTCGACTATGATATCAAGCGCAGGTGTAGTCGACTCACACGCGCTGGCACGCAGACCATCGGTGATGTGAACATCTCTTCGACGAAAGACTTCTTCGGTTCCCTGCGCGGAAGCACGGCGGCCAAGAACGCGCCCCCTCCCGTGGTGGCTACCACCGAGCGCGCGTTTCCCGCGAAGAAGAACGCTTTTGCGCCGCCGCCCACAAGGCGCTTGGCTTCGGACGAGTCTGTGCCGACTAGTTCTTCCCCAGCCTCACCTGCGCCTCCTCCGCCTCCTCCACCGCCACCACCCCCGGCGCGCCATGAACCGGAGCCTGAGGGAGAGTGGGCTGAAGCGCTGTATGATTATGATAGTGCCGAGCCCGGGGACCTGAATATCAGGGAGAACGAGCGGGTGCTTGTTACCGATCGCTCTGACGACGACTGGTACGTGCCCATTCTCGGGTTTTGCGGTGCCTTTCCGTGCTCGATCCTATCTAAACTCAATCTCATCTCAGGTGGAAAGGAGAGTTCAATGGACAAGCAGGCGTCTTCCCCGCTTCCTATGTCAAGTTGCTTTGAGTTTAAGGCTGTGTTCCTTGAGGATCTTGAAGCGCGCAGGAGGTTGGAGATAGCATCCGAATTGGATAGTATTACATGGTTACATGTTGTGTGTGATTATAGGCGGTACATGTGCGGATAATATAGGATGTGCTACAGGATGCTCGTCGGCCATACAATCGAGTCGGGTACATGATCGAAAACAGAGTACAGAGTACAACAAATGCAAAAGGAAAGACGGGGGGAGAGATGATGCCGAGTCAAAAAGAGAGGCAAGCGGGGCGCGCTGACTTGTCTAGGACTGGGCGGGGCCCGAGATAGGCGGGTATCAGAGCGCGTGCATCGTCGGGTGGGCTCTCCAAAAAGCGGGGTGTAGAGGGGGGTTCATCATGTGTGTGTCGGTGGGATGTGAGGAAGCCTACGCCTCGAGGTCGGCGCGGAGCATGCCCGAACGAGAGTGCGCGAGGCGGCCACGACCGGTAGCGGCAACGTCTACCTCCGTCATCGATGCGCTGCGCGTCGCCGCGCCCCACATCCGGCTAAGGAAGTTGCTGGTCGCCGATGCGGTCATACCAGCGGAAGGCGTGACATGCGCGTTCTTGGGAGGCGTGTCGAAGCGCGGAGGTGCCGTGGGACGACGCAAGCGCAGGCTACGCTTCGTGTTCAGCGAGGGCGCGGGGAACGGCAGCGGCTTGACTGCGGACGAGAGCGCCAGCTGGTCCAGCGTGATGGAAGACTGAATGGCGCTATCCGAACCGAGCATGTGCAGCGTCGAGTTGGAGTCGTGCGCCGCGATGGTGGCCGTGTCGCTCGGCTTGCGGGCGCGGCGGCGCGCGGGAACAGCCTGCAGCCTGCCCAAGTTGGCAGGGAGACTGCGTGGCCCCGCCTCGTCGTCAGAAGCCATGCTGTCGTCGTCAGACAGGTCGCGCAGCTCGTCAGACGACTCGTCCGTGGTCGAGTTGTCCTCGGTAAGCGAGCCCATGGAAGCCTCGCTGTCCGCGCCACTCGCCGTGCTGGCGTTGCTGATGGTGCGTGGGCCGAGCGTCTCGCGGATGGGCGTGGGCGTGACGGGCGCCGTGCCGCCGAGGTACGACCGAGACAGCCGGCGGGCAAGGCTGTGGACCGTCGTCGCGAGTGTCTGCGCGGCGGTGGTCGTGGATGCGGCGGCCGCGGCAGCAACAGCAGTCGTGTACGGGACAGTGTTGCGCGAGCGGTCCTCTGACGGCGGTGGGGAAGGGAGCTGCGCCTGAGCACGCGCCTTGCTCGCTTCCGTAACCTTGCTGACGGCCTTCTGCCTCGTCGATGCCGAGCTGGCAGCCGGCGGGACGGGCAAGAAGGGCTCGAAAGCCGCAAGCGCCTCGTTCTCGTCGAACCGGAGCTCGTAGTCGAGCAAGAACAGAAGCTGCTTCTCCATCAAGTTGATCTCGTTGATGTCAAAGAGCTGGGCGTAGATGGCCCAGTGCTTGTTCTTCGGTGACGAGTCGTTGAGGTACTTGGCCGCCACGATGAGCGTTGCGAGGAAGACGCGGTGACGCGTGCACGGGAGACCTGGAACATGAAGCCGCTGATGAGCAAACGTGTTTTTATGTATGGTAGAGAAACATGCGTACCCTTAGCCATATCCGGAAGACGAGTGCGGAGACGGTCAAGGAAGAGGACCGTGCAAAGCAGAACCGGAATCTGGACGTGCGAGGCGTCGACGATCGAGGCGATAAAGTCGTGGAGCTTGGGCAACTTCGAGTCTTCTTCGTCTGCGAACGTCTTCTTGAGTGGCGTCTGGGGTGGTGTCGGGAGAGCGCTCGACAACGGCTCCGGGTCGTCGACGAGAGGAAGAGCGCGGATGACTTGCTCAGCCACGTAGAGGACCATCTCGAACGTCACGCGCTCGCGGACAAGGCGTAGGAGACGCGGGTTGTGGGCCGAGATGGGGAGGAGAGACGCAGGGTGCCGCCGAGTGGACATGATGGGAGAAAAGAAGGGAATGGCGGGGGAGTGGTCTGTAGGGAGGAGAAAGGGGAGAAGAGCCGCCGACGAGCAAGGCGGTGGTTGGAGAACAGGACGCAGAATCAGGCAAAACAGACTTTATACCCGTCGCGACCATACGAGGCGACCAACGAACGGCGGCGGCGGCGACCAACGGGCTCGGCGCCTTGACAGCGACTCGGAATGGAATGCATTGCGTCGTCAGTCTCAAAGCACAGAGTCGAGACCATCGAGGATTTCCCGGTCAAAAAGTCAGTCCAAATACCACAACCGCAATCACGCCCAGTCTTGATCCAGTACTGTCTATGTATGCCGACTCTGCGCCATACTTTGCGGCTTTGCCGTGGCGGGTCAGGAAGAGGCGCGTCAATAGGTTGGCGGGAGCACGCGACCGATCCATCTCCACGTCGGCGCTTGCCGGCCACGCCCTTACGGCCATGACTGCCCAATTCAAGCTGTACAGGCTTTCTTCCTACCATCACCACTAGACTTTCCCAGAGCCCTTTCTGACTCTCCGAGTGAGAGGTATAGAGTATGGATACGCTATCATGGTCTGCCTTGGTCGACTGGTCAACAGTCCTCGGTCTCGTATTCGGCGGCTGTTGCAGGTCAGCCTTCGTACCGAAGCGTGAAGGAATGTGTGATCTGACTGAGCTGTAGTAACGCTATAAGCTTGCAAGAGCTTACATCCGAGTATCCTAACGTCGGATCTTTGATCACATTCACGCAATTTCTTTTGGTCTCTCTGCATGGCATCCGGAAGTTCTTGTACTTCGAACGTGGGCCGCTGGGCTTGCCGCTGCCGAAGATGCGACCTCGACGCGTCCCTTTGACGCCATACCTCATTCAAGTCGTCTTGTATACCGCGATCTCGTCATTGAACAATGCTGCATTCGCATATAAGATCCCTATGACTGTACATATCATCTTCCGGAGCGGTGGCCTCGTGATCAGTCTCATCATGGGTTGGCTACTGGCCGGGAAACGGTAGGTTTACCAGTTGATCCTGAGTCTGCAACCACACTCAGCCGACTACAGGTATAGCCGTGGTCAAGTCTTTGCGGTGATCGTAGTCACTGGCGGCGTCATGCTGACGACGGCGTCAGCGGCAGTCAAGAAGCCTCAACAATCCGCATCTGCATCGGCTGCAGATGCTGGTCCCCCGCTGAAGACGTACATGACGGGAGTCGGCATCTTAACTCTCGCTCTCATTCTTGGAGGTCTGCTCGGGATCACGCAAGACCGTACCTACGGCAAATACGGTGGTGCGAAGAGCAAGGACCCGAACGCGCCGGCAATCTGGGAGGAATCCATGTTCTACATGCACTTCCTCTCCTTACCATCGTTTGCATTCATGTCGAAAAACATCTCATCTCAAGCGACATCGTTGATGGCGGCGAGTAAAGCGCACGTCACGCTTCCCATGCCCAGTCCCTTCGTCACTCTGCATCCGACTCCGGGCAAGCCCGCGGCATCGACGTCGTTGGACTTGCACGTACCGAAAGCGGTGGTCTTCCTGCTGTTGAACGCGCTTACGCAGCTCTTCTGCTCGGCGGGCGTGAACCGGTTGACTACCAAGGTCTCTTCGCTGACCGTGACGCTCGTTCTGGTCGTCCGGAAGGCGGTCTCGCTGCTGCTGAGCGTCGCGCTCTTCAAGCGCAGTGCCCACATGGACTCAACACAGTGGCTCATGCTCTGGTCCGGAGCCGCTCTCGTATTCGCTGGCACGGTAATCTACGCCGGTTCCTCGAAACCGCGCCCGAAAGTCGAGAAGGAGAAGGCGAAGCAAGAGTAGGATGCAAGATAATGGACACTGTTTGCCCACATGTACTAGAATATAGAGCAAAATATGTACTTATACACGGATGTAATCGTAACTACTCCTGGCCTGTCGCCCCGTTCCATACGCGCTTCATCATCTTAGCCGACTCGTCTTCGGCCGACTCGATCTTCGCGAGTGATACGATGCTGAGCGTGTTCGCGAAAGTACGCAGGTAAGGTGCATACTGTGAGTATGAGGTCAGCGATTGAGCACAGCCTATATATGAGATCGAACGTACTGCGCGGCAGAAGTGCTTGTACCAGCCCCATGCGGACCAGGCAACCCAGTGCTCATTTGTCCATGACGCGCGATCATCCCATGCGCTCTGCGTGAAGACAGAGTATACAGGCAGTGATGAGTCCGTTGGGTGAAGAAGGTCGACGAATCCCTCCACGACGAGTGAGAGGGTTGACTTCTGTTCCCTTGTAAGCGTGGAAACCGCCTTGAGAGCAGCAGACAAAGCCGGCGATTCGGATGTGGGTTCCTCTGAGAGGTCGTCAGCCACAGTTCAAGAAAAGTAAAGACAGGGCACTCACCGGCTTTCACTTCCGCATCGACCTCCATATGACTCGCGTCCGTAGCGAGCTCACGCGCACGCGTCTCATCTTCCTCCTTACGCAGAGCGGCGATGCGCTTACGCGCGACAATTACACGACCATTCGCCTTATCGATCGCTCCCTTCAACAGTACCCAATCCAGGCCGTTCTCAGCATGAGCAAAGACCCAGCGCACGCAATCCGTAGGATCGACGATCTGGTACTGCATGAACTTGTCGAAGACGATCGAAACCATCTGAGGGTTCCGGTACCAGAAACGCGCCGCGGCATTGAGGACATCACCCTTAGCGCCCGCACGCTCGCCGCCTGCCGCGAGATGGCGGAGAAGAACGATGTAGCGCTCGATTGCGTTCAGGAAATGCGAGAAGGATCGCGAGCCAATGTGGAGGAGTGATTGGACGGTGATGGTGCGCACGACTTGATCCGCATTTGCTTCGCCTTCTTCGTTTAGTTGATCGCGGATAGAGTCGAGTACTGTTGTTACTTCGTCCGGTTTTGCGCGAGCGCGAAGTTGGTTGAGGACGTTTTGAGCGTGCTCGTAATGCGGTGCAGCTATTGTGTGTGAGCACGGATGTGATGGATATACGTGAGAGGTAGCTTACATGGCAACTCATAGTCATACTCTGGTCCTGGTGCTTGATCCGCAATAGCGCCCGCTTCCGCATCCTGGAACTGGGGAGGCAACGTCTTGACGATACGATCGTAGTACGATAGTCTGATTTCCTGCTCCAGCGCCAGTCGAATGAAGATCTTCTTTGGGTGCGAAGCGGGCAAGTTGAGGTCCTCGATCCTGTAAGACGGATAAGCGGATTGCTCGTCGTTGTTCGAAGGAAGGTCGACAAACCATTCTTTCCAGACCCATTGGAAGTTGAAATTGCTCATATGCACTGAGAACCACTCAGCGAAACGGCGGCCAACTTCGACGTCGAGCCCTTCGACGAGGTAGCTGTAGCACTTGCGGATGGACTTGCCAACCGCCGGCCCAACAGTTTGCGGCGACAACTTACATAGCTCCGTGATGAGAGCGCCGTAGTAGATTGTGTGTTTCGGAGCGTCAGGTAACAGGAACTGGTGGCTGAGAGCGGTCTATGGTCCTGGTGAGAAGATGACCTCATACAAGGGACAGGAAGACTAACCTCTACTAGAGCGCTTTCGAGTTGCCAGTCCTTACTGGGCACTGGTTGGCGCTCAGGGTCATCATCCGGTCCACCTGGTCGCGGTTTAAAGGTGCCAGGCGGCGTCCACTTCGGATACTCCAATAGCAATCGTGCGCATTCTTTGCGGTTGATCTCGAATATGTCGATGATATCTGCGATATCCGACCGCGCGGCGTAGCCTGCCGGCGTAGATGGGTTGGGCGTTACCTTTGAACAATCGATTTTAGCAAAGCACCAGTCTCGCTGATAGTTGATATATCGCACCTCGTCAGGGAATAGTCGTAGATAGGACTCGGGCCACTCCTCCTTCTTGATCGGAACGTCCTCGCTGACGTCCGGACCAAGAGATTCGAGCTCCATGGCGTCTGGAGGGACCAAGACGGAGGGCAATTCATACAAGTCAAACTCGCCCTTTGCTACGTCGGCGTAAGGCTGGATGTATATCGAAGATACGTCCTCAAAGTCGTTCGCGTCCAAGGCCTTGAGTGCTGCGATAGCAGTGTCTAGACTCTACACATGCGCGTGAGCAAAAATGTAGAAGTCTAGCGAAGTGAACTTGCCTCGTCTGCGCCAATGACGGGAGATTCCGTGCTGTTGACGCCTGACGCCGGGTGTACGAGCCATTTCGCGTTTGGCATGAGCTCGCTGTAAGTCTGGATAGCGGTGATCATTTCAATGACAGATGCAGCCGACTGCTCTTTGAGGATCTTGCCAGCCTGGACGCGCAGTCAGTATCTTGTTGGACTGTGTAGAGAATCTGGATAGCAGTTACCCGCATAAGGCCTTCCGCGGCGGAGCGCGCAGCACGTTTTGCGCGAGCATGGGACACACCAAACTCGTCAAGCACGGCAGTCAAGGATTGTAAAAGGGAGAGCATGGACTGCGGCGAGATGACACGAGCGACTGTCAAGTGTGCGAAGAAGTGGATCTACGCGACCGAGTTTAGTCGTGTGGCGCAGCGACCAGAAATGGCACACTCACGCAGAAGCGGACTTCTCGCCAGGCGAGCTTATCGAGATAACTTTGGAAACCTTTCCAGAAGTCTTCAAGCACTTGACGGCCAATGGACGCGCTCGGAGCGGCGCTTCCTTCGCCCTTTGCGGGGCAGTCCAATAGCCGTCGTAGGAATAGCGCGTAGTAGGGAACTTTGTACGGCTGCTCTGTCAGACTTCAAGCATCGTGTGAGTACATACGTATAGTGTGTATATACTGTATGCGTACCCTATACGGATAGCTTCGGACAAGGCTGAAATGTTGATGTTCTCAGCTTCGGTTATGTTGTGTACTTGGCGGTCAACCTCCTGCAGCGCGTCCTGTGGTACATTGTAAAGAGTTTATCCGTGGATCATATATATACCATACGCACCACGTCTCCCATCCGTATGATAATATTTTTGAACCGCGTTTCCGGGTCCTCGTAGTATGGCTCGGGCTCTAGACACGAAATGTGAGCATACAGCTCGAGAAAACCCAGTCATGACGCACCTCGGTACTGCCGACCGCGGCCACCATAGTGACGACTCATTTTAAAGTCAAAAGCAGACGGTATGTCGTCGTAGACCAATAAGTTGGTCGAGGAATGGGAACAAGTTCACTTGAGCGCGCGTCAGAGAAAGTCCCACGACTTGCGAGCGCGCGTCTCGGAGCAGAACGCGGCGCGTCCAAACTTGGTCAACGACTACCACGAGCAGATCACAAGGTATACCTCTCGACTTTGCTATTTCCTCCAGCTTCACTCATAACATATACAAAGGCATGCGAGACTCATGCAATGCCTTGTGACACTCAGGACTAGCTGCTTCGCTCCTTGGGGGCGCTCGGCCTTCCTTCGGCCGCCGCGGACAGAACGCCTTTCTATCTCGCCATCCTTGCAGTCTCGCGACTATTTCTCCAGGCGTACTTTTGCGTCACACTCCCCCCAGTCAGACGATGTGAACTCGCAAACCTCTCTAGACACCCCGAACATTCAACCTCTTCCCGAAAACCTCTCTTCCGCCCAATGGTCCCGCGCAGGCGCCAAGGCCGTGCGCATGGCACTCGCTCAAGATCGACGCTGGGAGGCATTTCATCTCTGGCACTCGATGCGCTGGTCTCTATCGCGATATGGCCAATCTTCTATTGCATTTAAGCCGCCGACGGACAAGTTCAAGCCGGTGGACTTCGGTCGCGCTGTGTCTCCGGTACTCGCCGGACATTCGTTGGTTCACGGCCTCTTACGCTCTGGAGAGCGTAGACTGGCTGGACTGCTGGCTCAGCAGATGGTCGAAGATGGAGTGACGCTCAAGTCCCAAACGGTTGAAGCTATCCTGAGTACACTCCAGGTGGCGCCTCTTCGCACTCCATCAGGTCCCCCACACGATAATTCGACGTTCCCTTCACTCGACAACGTTCGACCCCGCGATCCTCTCACCGCCGCAGCCGTCGTACTGCTACGAGGCGCGTCAAAGCAACGGAAACAGCGCACACGAGCCATATTCGACAAGGTCATCAGCTTGTGCTTAGCCCAGACCGAGATCCTCGCCGCTTCCCTGCTCCTTGGGATGCTTATTGCTGTATACCAGCAGCACGGGACGCACGTTGTAACTGGATCCCTTGTCGCTCCCGTTCCTCAGGGCTCTCGAGCGGCCCCCAGTCATCCGCGCATCCGCGGCTCCGGTATCGGTTGGTCCACGAAGTCTATGGAGGCGATAGTACAAGCCATTGAGCCCCACATACGCGCGGGACCTGAGGACGATATGTTCGAAGAGTGCAGCCAGAGTCTCGCATTCATAGCTCACGCAATCGACACGCGTCATATGCCCCTTACTCGAACTGCAACACTCATCAAGTTGCTGTACTCGTACCCGGATTGCGACTCGCTCGTTTGGGTAGAGCGTGAAGGCGGGACCCCGGAGCGCATACGTGCATACACGTACTTCAACGACGTGCTCCTGAGACTTGTAGAGGGTCTTCCGTCGCGGCCTCCTCCCGATGCTGCACCTACGCGTAGGCGAAATCGCTTTCCAGGCTACTGGGATAACATGCGCATCGTCGAGTACAACTCGCTATTGCACTACGCCATCGATGAGCGCCGCTCTATACCGCTCATGCGACGCGTACTCGAGCACATGCGCGAAGCCCGTCAACCGTCCATTGAACCGAACAACGTCACACACTCTATCACTCTTCGTGGACTGCGACTTGCGCGTCGGAATGATTTGGCGGAAGATGCTGTTGGCAAGATGATTGGGCGAGAGCAGAAGGGTTCTTCTACTGCTAAGGACAAGGAGCAGACTGCCACTCCTCGACCGGCGTCTCGGCCCAGCAATCAACGTGGGTTACATACCTCCTCGGTAGTGGACGGGGTAAGTTGACGTTTGATATATGCAGCTACGCAGATATTGACAGCGAGCCGTTTCCAGTCCCAGGTCCCCGCGGCTCCTCTCAAGCGTCTCATGCGCGAGAATATGGAAGCCACTATGCAATACCCCGCCGCCGCCGAACCCGCTCAGATGGATCCCGACACGCTCGTACAGTACATTCTGCACCTCGTCGAAGCAGGACGCTTATCCGACGTTGCACCACTCTTCTTCGAACTCTTCCCCGAGCTTAGCATCGAAGATCATGATGAGCGGCGCGCCGCGCGCCGTCACGCTATCGAACGCGCCATACAGTACGGACCAGACTTCTTCGCGACATTGCTCTCGGCAATGCAGAAGGCTGGCAAAACTGGTACGGCGGAGAGAGTGTGGGGTCTTGCGAAGGTGGCTGAACAGCGTTCATGGACTGCTGCACCGTCGTGGGTGCTTCCTGTTCACGCGTACACGACGATGATTGCCATCTATCATCGCGAGAGCCGCCGCGTCGAGGAGGACCCCTTCGGCGACAGCGACGACGAGTCCTCCGACTCCCGCGCTGTGGGCTTCGGCCGCTTCATACCCCCCGAGGCCATTCAAGAGGTGCACAACGCGGCTCGTCACCGTGCTGTCGTCGGACGCGCTATGGCGTTCAAGGTGTACAAGGAGTTCATGACTGTATCGTCGCGCGAGGATATACCGCTCAAGGCGCCGCGTCCCGACGCTCGGTTCTTCAAGACTGCTCTGCGTCTGCTGGATCTGGACAAGAGACGTAGTAACGACTATTGGAGGGACAAGTTCAACGCTACGACACACGCGTACCTCTCTTATGGAGAGTTACCCGAGGGGTGGACGCCCGAGCTACAGCGCATCGCGGACGACATGGACGCTGCAGGATATGCTCTGCCGTTGGCTCATCGGGCTCTCCTTGTGGGTCGCTGGAACCCCAAAGTCCGCCAGGAGGAGGTTGAGGTCGCGTCCCGCCGACCATTCGTGTTCCCTCCGTTGCCGCAGAATGAGCATTCCGCCACCACGCTGGGGACGGCGAAGTCTAAAGGCTTGCCTATCAGGCGTATGAAGCCGAAGGCACCATCTGCAAAGCCGCGCAGAGAGCAAGCGTAGAATAATAAAATGGGGTAATATTAGAGTGTGAATAATATACTATTTTGCACGTTTGGGACTCGCTGCACCGCTCGGTAACGGACGGTCTTTGTGCTGTAAGAATACAATGATCATATGCTTTGCCTCTGAGCGTGGCGCCCATTCGCGGGCGATATCCTCTAACGAGACCATCCATTCGTCCAGCATGACTCTTCGCCTGGTAGGCGGTACAGGCGTATGACCGTCCTTCTCCGTGACAACGAAAGACACCCGTCGCCCGCGCTCAATTTCCTGCCGGACTTTGCGCAATTTGTGCTGCACGTCGCCCGATGCAGCCGTCCACGTCAACTGGATCTCCTTCTGGTCGTTCTTCCGTCGCGACTCGAGCGCTTTGTGCTTGCGTGCTTTACTGAGCTCGTACATCGCGGCGCGGTCGAACAGGCGGACGAGAGCGTAGCCGCCGAGGTCGTCGGACGGTGGGCGCACGACTTCGGCGTAGCGGACTTCTACTTCTCGACCGTCTACCGTTTCTTTGAGCATGTCTAGGACTTGCGAGAGAGGCATTGGGTCCGAGGGCTTCTTCGTCTCTGGGTCGACGATGCGCACGGTCTGGTAGGGAATATCCTTATTTCGTGGGGTCTTCTTCGGAGTTTCGTCCTTCGTCGCCTCTTCCTCTTCATCGAGAACGAGTCCGCGGCGGTGTGGGTGACTGGCGTGCACTCGCGAGGAAACTATTGTTCGGACGTGTAGAGCGGGAGTAACGGATGCACGAGCAGCATGACGAGCTACACGAAAGATAGACGCAGCATACATGTTACTGGCCGGCGCGTCAACGGAAGCGAGTTTCGGTTATGTGCAAACGCGACATACCGTGTCTTCCGCGCGGAGTAAGTAGACGAAAGTCCCAGAAGTCTAAGACTTTAATCCGAGTAGACTTTCAGTATTAAAGAGGCTGTACACAATAAAGGACCGGGTGAGTTCAGACGGTGCAAGTGGTAGACTGGATGGTGACAGGACGCGTCAAGGCGCGACGCGACGCGTCGAACCGGTTCTTCCTACCGCGTCTCCTCTCTTACCACGATCATTTTGGGTTTCCTACGACTATCGGCACTGCACTCATGGTCATCAATGGTAACTATCACGACGATAGAGTCGATGTAATGAGCACCGTGTGTAAACAGGACGTCGTACGGATGTAATACCTTGAACATTACACGATTTTCCTTGACACCACGATGTCATATTTCGCCGTCAGTATTGCATACACGCTTACACGAGACGCAGAGTCGTGACTAAGAGTCAATATGTAGTATGAGCTCATCCGTAAGGAGCGAACGCGTATATAATGCATTGATTCAGATGATACAACTCCCAGACACGGGACTAAACCTGCAACGAAGCATCCACTCTGTGCCTCCAAACCTCTCCAATCTCAAGGAGATCACGCATATTGGAATTGGTGTGCCTCGAGACTCATAGCATATTTTGGGTCGGAGAAAAGTACATGGAGTGCAGTGCGGGAGACATGTGATGGATGGGGCGAAACACGGAACCAGTCTACTCGGTCGCAGATGCGCGCGCTGAGGGAGATAAATCAGCGTGGGATTTAGATATCCCAGGAGAATTTACGCACTGTAGATGAGCTGGCCGTGGTGGTGCACAATGCGCTTGATGGAGCCCTCCTTCTCGAGGTGGCGGATGGCGATGCGAGCAAGCGAGCCGTTTACACGGAGACGCTCAATGAGGATGGACTGCGAGATGAAGCGGAAGGTGGGGACCTCCTTCACGATGCGGTCGAAGAGCGCCTTGTCAGGCGTAACGGCGTGCTGGGCCTTGTCCTTGACCTTGCCCTTGGACCACTTCTTCTTCTTCGCCGACTTGCCGCCGCTCGACGACGTGGGTGCTGCTGCCTTGGCTTTGGCCTGCAGTGAAATGTCAGCGAAAATGAAATCTCCCGAGTCGCGCGCGCGCCATCCGTCCGCCGCCCGAGCCATCCAGCCTCATCCGGTCCTCCCTCCACTCCTACGGCTTCAAGAACGCGATCCCAGACGGCGAACGGGCATAGCTTCTGCGTGAACAGGCATACGTACCATCTTGTCTGGCCGTTTGGTGGTCGAGGTGCAGGATGGCGGGCTCGGCGAGCGGGCAAATCAGAGCGCGCGTGACATGACGTGACGCATGTGATCGTCACCAACAGGAGCTTGTCATACTGCATTCAGCCAGTACTCTCGGAGCGCCTGAGGGAGGCATACGAATCGATTTGCACGAAATATATCTCTTACACCAAACTTGCTGTATAAGTACTATAAGGTACAGAGGCCGCTCGAAGGAGCTTGTGTGGTCCGCCACGTGTCTAACGCGTCGACACGTTCAAGTCGCGTTCGCCACATTGTTGCGCCTGGTTGCACCAAACGGCCATGCGCCTGCTGTCTGTATCCCTTCTCGTTCCTCTGACGGCCGCCTACGACGTCGCGAAGACTCACGGAGTGAAGCCTGCCTTGACAAACCGCTATGTTGCCTCGTCGTCTGACGCTTGGACTTGTCTCGATGGATCGAAGGAGATCGCGTGGAAGGCCGTGAACGATGACTATTGTGATTGCCCTGACGGTTCAGATGAGCCTGGTATGCTAGAAATATAACATCACTGTGTACGTATGCTGAAGCTGCACATAGGCACTGGTGCCTGTCCCAATACTACCTTTTACTGCGAGAACGCCGGCCACATCGGCGCCAGCATACCTAGTTCGCATGTTCGCGACGGCCTGTGCGGTGCGTGGCGTTGTTTACGTCTTATCGATGTCAGACTGATATCATCCAGAGACTGACTGCTGCGACGGCTCTGATGAACGTCCTGGCGTTTGTCCTAATCAGTGTAAGGAAATCGGCGAGGCGTACAGGGCTAAGGTCGACGCCGAGCGCAAGTTGCGCAAGACGGTGCGTATACGATATATGATCTCGACGCCATGATGCTGATCTGGACATATAGGGCTCTAAAATCAGGTCGTCGTACATATCCTTTGCGCAGAAGGAGAAGAAGCGCCTGGAGGAGGTTCTCGCCACTGCTACGAAGGAGATGGAGAAGCTTGAGAAGGAGGTCAAGCGTCTGAAGAGTACGTGTAGCATCTCCATCGATATTCTCGTCGTCTGACACGTGCACAGGTACACTCGATCAGGCTGAGGCCGTATCCGCGGAGGCTCTCGAGCTGAAGAAGCAGTCGCGTGTGTACCTCTACCCGGCCCCTTCACGCGCCTTGTTGACGTCCACCTAGCTTTGTATCAGTCTCTCATAGAACATGCCAATGCTCTCAAGTCTCTCCAACGCGAGCACGAGAAGCATCTCGAGCGAGAGCAGGCTCTCGGCGACATCCTCGACTCTCTGCGCCGCGGTTACAACCCCAACTATCAGGACATGGCCGTGCTCGAAGCCGTACGCGGCTGGGAACAGCTGGCCGGTCTTAAGCACATCGGTCACGAAGACGAGGAGGAGGCTGCGTCCGATGCTGAGCCGCCTGCGGCTGAAGAGGAGGAGCTTGAGGAGGGAATGTGGTCGGCGCTGGAACTCGAAGAGAACTTGGGTGACTTGCTCGACACCGACTACGTCTCGTTGTTGCTCGAGCACGACAAGAATGCCGCTCCCGCCGCACACTCACTTCGTATGTTCACCCGCGTTCGTTGATGATCTGATCCTGATTCTAATCTTTGGCAGTCCACGACGTCTCTGAATACCTCCCTGACACCCTGCGCAATACCGCCCTCGGCTGGCTCGGTGGTTCTTCCGAATCATCTGGTACCTCTTCTGCCGGTATGCACCCTCTCGTCACTGCCTTGTCTTCGTATGATCTGATCTACTACCAGGCACCACTAAACTTCGCGAGACGCTCACGAAGGCGGAGAAGGAACTCGCCGACCGTAAGAAGGAGCACGATAATGCGAAGCAGGATATCGATGAGCTCTTCGATCCCAAGTTCTTCGGTAGCCAGGGCGAATGGCGTCAACCGTCGAACAAGTGCCTCTCCAAGGACACCGGGGAGTGCGTGCCACCTCCATACATCTTGATAAGGTCGTGCGAGCTCATAGTATCAACTTATAGCTATACGTACGAGGTTTGTCTGTTCGGCGAGGCTAAGCAGAAGCCGAACAAGGGCGGCCAGACCTTCAGCCTTGGGTTAGTCGTCGCGATGCTTGATTGTGAACCCTTGATCTGATAACGACCAGCCATTTCTCGGGTTGGAATACGAATGCGGAGGTCGGCTCGCCCGAATACTACAGCCGACAATCGTACACCCTCGGTACAAAGTGCTGGAACGGCCCGCAACGCAGTGTCAAGGTACGCTGTCTCCTCTTCGCATGTTCTTGACATTGTCGTGACGTGAATGTTAGCTCGAGCTTTCGTGCGGCACGGAGAACACACTGCTCACTGTGCAGGAGTTGGAGAAGTGCGAGTATCAGTTTACGGCTACTACACCGGCATTGTGCTTGCCTCTCGATATTCCGGCTTCGGAGCCTGTGAGAGATGAACTATAGAGATTGTATTTTGTATGCACAATATATGATATGTCAAGAGCAATGTCTCAAAACTGACATATGCCTCGTGCTAGATTGTGACTCTTCGCGAGTTGTCGTGATCCATCGCGAACGGGGGAGTCCTCGCGACAGCCGACAAACAGTCGCGAGCCATCGCAAACAGTCGCGAATAACTGGGCCCGATCTTCAGTGGTTATTAATTTTCCTACAGTTCTGTGCTTGTAGGCTCAAAAAACAAGCATGTAACAATGCTCGAGACAAAGCAAAAAGATATATTGCACATGGTACCACATCAACAGAATATGAGAGTCACCTTGCGGGTGTTACAATCCAACACCTCCCTCCAATTATCCGATTATTCTTTTCCTTTTCCTTTTCCTTTAAGGACCCCAATCACGTGACTCGGCAATCTCCGGATCCTTCTATCAAAGCCCGGCATTGCACAATGACACTACCCGCAACCCTCATGTTGTCTGCACTACTCGAGTACCTCTGGTTCAGCCCCATCCTCGCCTGCATACTCTTCGCCCTATTCCTCCCAAGAACCCGGCAGGATGACAAGGACATTGTCCAGACTATCCCCTTACAGTAAATCACACCGCACGAGGAGCTGCCAGTGTTACCCCTGCCAGCTGTGACTAGAAGGTACTAGAAGGTCCCATTCCCGTGCCCCTTCAGTATATAAGACTTGCCTCCTGCTTTGTATCTTGCCTCTAACGTTGATCTGGTCAATACACCGGCTAGTGCCCTTACTTGCTTACCGCCTAATCACTTGCTTGTGTGGTCTTAGTCATCAATTAGTCTTTGTAAGCCGTCGCTGACAGCGGGATTGCGAGGCACCCATGAGGTGCCAGGTGGCTGGGAAGGCCGGGAGGCTGCACGATTCCTTGGGTGCCGGCAGGAGGCTGCTAGGGACACACTTGGTGGGGACCTCCGAGCTGCGCAAGATGACACACAGACAAACAGATGTCAAGCACAAGGGTGTGCAAGACACAGACAGAGAGCAGAGGAGAACATCTACAGGCTAGATTGCAAGATGGACGAACTAAAGGAGCTAAAGTACATGGGGGAAGAGTCTTATATACAAGTCAAGGCACTGTGGGAACGGGATGACGAAGACAGACGAGCAGGTGGGTGACTGAGCAAGCCAGGCCCCGCTGACAAGAGATCCTATGTTGCTGTTGCTGCCGATGACAGCGAAGATGCGGATGCCGTCCGGCATCATTGAGATCGCAGATGCGGATCCGCACAGACGCAGGCTCTAAGTCCCTAGAGCAGTGGCAGGGGCCGACGGTGCCGAAGGTGCCGATTTGGTAGATAAAGTACTGGGGTAGACCAAATGTAGT